TTATTTATTTGATGTACTTCTTTTATACTAATTTTTGTTATATGAAACTTAGGATTATGTGCATGTTTTTTGTAAATAAAAGTTAAGACACAAATTTTTAAAAAAACTGTTTAAAATTTGATAATGAATTCAAAAACGTTTATTTATAACTTGGTAGCCAGACCTAATAAACCTAAAAAATAAAATTTGAATTATACTTTATTTATTCTTACTAACTTCTGTTTAATGAATTATTCTTAGGAACGAACCTTAAAAACTGGTGAAAGATTTCATGCTAGAAACCAAGATATTAGAAACTTTAAGTACTTCACTTGTAGTGCGGGGTTGACCCCTCCTTCCTTTCTTGCCTCCATGCTTCTAAGAGGGGGTTGTTTGAAAAGATAAGACCTGCTCCAATACCGTAATATTTCCAAAGCAGAAATTATTACTGGATCATTTGAATTGTTTTTCTCATAATGGTGCAACACTATATCTTAGAAAAATTAATTAAAATATTTTTAAATCAATAATTCCAAAGAGGCAGGTTTAATTAAAAACGCAAAGAAGCGGACATTTTTTTTTTTTTTTTTTTTTTTTCTTTTTTGTTTTTTTTTTTTTTTTTTTTTTCGCATTAGATACTGAAAATGAAAACGCTATATCAAAGCTCTTATTGCATGTTCAAATGAACACCACGCGGTTCTTTGCATACTACATAATTTAATAGAATCTTAGCATTTCCAATTCTGTTCAGCAATAAGAGTTAATTCAGTCCTTACACTGAAGGGATAATGATGAGCAGTGAAACAATGATCGTTGGCAATATTGTACTGGGCAAAGCCAACTACACTCAAGTCCTGTCAGTGTACGGGTTCCCTCCATGAACTTTCTACTAACCGGAAAACGACGGTACTCTTCTGCTATACTTGGCGCATGTTTACAGTTGGCAGAAATGTATCAAAGACAAATACTGGTTCGTTACATACAGAATTTAAAAAAGATTAATCCGTAGCAGACAAAATTATACGTTTCATTTTAATAGAAATATATTAATTTAGTAAAAAGCAAGAAGTTTTATGTTATTTCACTTTCTACATATGTAAACACTGTCTACTAGATCTCAGTTTTAAATCCTGCATTATATATAAGCATCAAGTAAATTCAGTTGTATTTACCAGAGATAATTATTTTACTGAAGCCATATATTTAATTTTTTAAGGCTAATTTTATATGAAGAAGTTAATAGATAGCTACAGAACATATTTTAATGTTTCAATTTTTATTATATTTTCAACAGTCCTGTGGAAAAAATAAGTTATATTACAAGGTATTTCTCCCGCCTTCTTAGCATGCCTTCTTGGTGTGGTGGTCTGCACGCTGGGCGCGTACTCCAGAGGTCCGTGGTTCGATTGCCGGCGAAGCCGTTTCTCATTTTTCATGACTCCTGCTTCTAAAAGTACTTAATGTCTCTACAACACTATCCTACTACTTATTTACATAGCATATTAGTAAATTATGATATAAAATTTGTATATCTCTTTGTACATTAGATTAAAACAAGTATTTCTAAAAGGGTAATGAATAATTTTTTCTTCTTTCTTTTATGATGAACTAAGCGTTTAGAGGAAATTTTAAAAAACAAAAGTTTTAAATAATAGAAATTTAGTGCTCTGAACAGTTTATGCGACAGTACTAGTGTTCCAAATAAGTTATAGTTTTCAGATAGAATAAAACAAGCTTAGTTTGGAACAGATTTTGAATAAAACTCGAGATTAAAGTTGCTTATTGCTAATTTTAATATTACTTTGAATATTTCACTTCTATTTAGAACTTTTTGTTTGATGGGTGTTCACATTAAAAATATTAGAAATTAAACAAAGCGTATTGCAGCAACTTGGATTTGAAGCCTCATTATTAATAAGTATGTAAGATTCTAACCTGTGAACTTTTAAGTTACAGTTAAAGATGAAGAATCTTAAGAACTGTTAAGCGAATAATCGCTTGAGTTCGTGAGAGAGAAAATAAAACTTGGGAAGGGTTAAATACCCTTTATTATTCCGAATTAAATTCACAGAACTCCTTCTTGGAGTTTTCCAATAAAGCCTCAACTCGGGCTTGAACTCAGAAACTAAGAAATTAAATCTTAACTAAAAAGATATAGCCGAAGTTATCAAGATTCTAACAGAGTTAGCCCCTTAACGCTAAACAGCGGCGATCAAGACTAAAAGGCGGAGCGAGCTATCAAATCACTGGTTTCTCTCACGAAGTCAGTAGAACTTCACAGTAATATTCTCCTATTTGCATTCAGACCGATTCTAAAACTACGTTGGCCGAAGGTTGTAAGTTGGAAAGGTAAACGTAAACTTTAACTCAAATTAACTGTTAGATAAATTAACATAATCCTTACAAGTAATCTTAAATAAAAAGAAATTAAAAAAAAAAAAAAAGAAGAAGAAGAAGAATTACTCTCATTATTACCAGTTTATAATCTACAGTGCATCATCGAATTTCCTTGAAAGCACAAATATGGTGCCCAAAACTCTGAGGCGGTGTCATTTAGATGGCCAAAGGCCATGAAGCTTCGGTTCTTAGGGCGCACTTCTATGCCGATATAAGATCATGTAGGTTTTCGATATCTTGTAGGTTTAATAGACTAACGGCATGCCAGGCTTACGTTGACCCCTTATATGGTATTTCTCCCGCCTTCGTGGTGTGTTCGATATCTTGTAGGTTTAATACACTAACGGCATGTCAGGCTTACGATGACGTCTTATATGATATTTCTCCCGCCTTCGTGGTGTGTGGTCTGCACGCTCCCATAGGTCCGCGGTTCGATTCCTGGTGAAGATATTTGCTCATTTTTCAAGTCTCTTACTTTCAAAAAATCCTAATGTCTCTACAAGTGGCGCCCGAACTAAAAAGAAGATGTTGATGATAATTCTCCACACCCAGGATTTGCCGATTGGTTCCCCTAAAACCCCAGTCGCCCTTTAAAAGGGGACACGAATACCAAAGGTGGACTCTTACCTGGCTAGCTCTTTGGCCGCCGTACATAGTTATAAATCCAACCTTCAGAGGCTGGCCGGAGGGGCGCCATTCCCTCCTATCAACTCTCACGGGGACTTGACATGTTGCCATCATCCATCGCCGAGCCTTGAACCCAGCCAGTTGACCGGTGGCCAACGCCTCACCCCGGACAAGCCCTTCTTATCAGGAGGCAACCTTCCCACAACCAAGGTCACAGACAAAACAGTACCAGTACGATCCCTACCAAACCTGAACCTACCACCGAATACAAGGTGGTTCTAATTTATGGGAAGACTGATTATTTACCTAAGGAAACGAAGCTGTCTGGACAAAAGTCCAGCCAGTGGTCAGGAAGAACCTCGGGTCTCCTTCCATAAACGGGATCGGTTCCGGAAATTCCTACCAGTCGATCCCAAGGAATGCCTTTTAAAAGAGGGATTATATAAGGTATTTCTCCAGCCTTCTTGGCATGCCTTCGGGGTGGGGTGGTCTGCACGCTAGGCGTGTATTCCAGAGGTCCGCGGTTCGATTCCCGACGAAGGCGTTGCTCATTTTTCATCTCTCCTGCTTCCTAAACAAACCTAATGACCCTACACCCTCACAGGGGCATGAGAGTGCAAAGTATTAAGCTCGCAGACACTTTCCTCGGATAAAAGTATTTGAGAATTGAGTAGAAATAGAATATATTTATATTGCCTTCTATATAGAAATCCTTCAATAGAAGTATTTGAGTAGGTGAAAAGGAAACTGATTTTATATAAAAGTCTTAAGCAGCTGGGTAGTGGTTTTCAAGGTCGTCATTCTTGACGCTATCAAAGCGAGTCTGTTGCAAAAATTTGCGAAGTCTGGAAAAAATATTGAGTACCTTGCAGCATCTGTGTCATATGAATGAAATTTCACTAGTCCTGGTAATATTGCAAATTAGCATTTAAGCTGAAAAATGTATTTAAAATTGTGTTTAAATAGCTTAAATTAATTACTGTACGTTGAAAATGGGAGGGAAAAACTACTTTTAAAGAAAAAGGGGTTTTTAATTAATTAAAATGAAAAGGAAACACCTTTACGTATATGTTATATAGCGTACTGTACAATACTTACATGTGCTGAAAGTCATTGCTTGCTGGACATCTCGGTCAAAGTAGGCTGACAGTTTTCATCCATTTTCGCATAGCCAAGTTGCGCATCCGCTTGACAATAAGTTGCATGTGCTCACAATCGGGCTGACGATCTATCCGCAGCTTCAAGGCCGGCAAACGCTTTACTAGCTGATGATCTCGTGTCTGCTTCAACTTCGACATTAAGTTCATCTCCTTCCTCGACACTTTCTTCTCTCACACTTTCAATAAGTTCATCATCATTTAGAATTTGAAACCCAGGGTCTGGCGAATCACACACCATCCACTTTGCTGTATCATCCAGGATATCTAACTTCTGAACATCCAGGAATTTTGAAGCTAATGTTTCTTACTTTCTCAAGTAACACGTCATCATCATCTTTTCTTATCGCTTCCCTCTCTCTTTTTCTTAAATTCTGAAAGCAATTCGGATAATCAGCGATTCGTATAATTGGAGTTGTACTGTACAGTTATTTTTTTTATGACAACATTTGGTAAATAATTAGCTCATCTATATTTTATTTTTAATTTAAAATTTTTCTCCTTTTTGCTGTAATAACATTTTTATAATAATAATAAAAACATTGTTAAAGAGAAGAATCAAATTAATATTTTACATAATTTATTAACTATATTTTCATAGATGCATTTTAATGTAATATTCTGTGAAGAAAAATGGCATTAATCTATCAGTTAACCGACTAAAAATTTATTCTTACAAACTGAAAATTTATATTCAGTTTTACTATTACTAATGTAATTCAGCAGGATAATTATAACTTGTAAAACTCTTATTAAAAATCTTTAGCAAGCTAAGGCCTTTCAAGATAAATTTCTTCGTGTTTCACTTTCGAAGCCAGTCTGTATTTTGAGGAAACATGTGATACTTCCTTCCTGACTGAAATGCCGTTTGGTTAAACGCATTCAATCGTTTGCAGTGCAAAGCTGATTATCATGTTTTCCTCATCGATTAACTTCCGAATACCATTGTCAATAATAATTATTATTCTTTCGTACTCATGGAATCTCGTTCTAGGAGGTAAGTTTTTAAATTAAATAATAGTGTAAAGGAATTCAAAATTTACACATTATACAAATATCTATTTTATAGTCGTCTTATTTTATTATTCTATTAGTTATGTAAAAATTCTATTTTTTAGCCCAAAAGTGGCTATTAGTCTCGAAACGGGATTTTTTTCGTAAGTGTTGCCATCAAATATTATTTTTAAAGAAATTAAATAGTGAAGCATCTGCATGTATATATAAATGTTCCTTGCATTATGAAAAAACAATAGTACCTACAGCCATCAAATTTTGATAAACCTTAGTCCTGCAGCCGAACGTGTGCACTTGGAAACGCGGATTTCGAATTTGTTTTATTATTTATTTCATATTTTATAAAACTTTACTGAATTTTTGATTAACAACTCAACGATCTGAAAGCGAGCAGTAGCAACACTGTTCAAAATAAGACATTTTTATCTCCAGCGCCCGAGACTGCTGCTATTCAGAAAATGTAAGATTTCAATGTTTCGTTTCAATTAACAAACTCCGCTGAATGAAAGCAATGTATTGCCACGGTCGGAAATGAAACATTTTTATCTTCCACGCGCCGAGGTTGCCGCTCAGTAACGACTAAGATACTTTCAAATTTAATCTAGAAGGTTTTTGAATAATAAACTAAGCTATTTTAAAACAATAAAAATAATTCTTAATGATATTTTCCTACTTTTTAATATGACTGATTAAAATAAACATGCATTAAATTCATAAGATGTCCAGTTAGAAATATTCAATATTTTTATGAATAGCTGATGGAGTCATTAACTCATTAAGCTGGACTCCACAGCTGGATTGGTTATAATCATTACATACTTTTTTATGTTAACTATCTTACAGCGGTCAGAATTTAAAGAAATAATATAGAGAATATAAAAATATATGTGGTAACCTTTAACACTCTATAGAGAATTCTAAAGATATGCTCTTTTTAAATATATTTGGTGATTTTGTTGTTGAATTCAATTTTATGTAGCGTAAGTGATATTAAATAAATCGAGAATGTTATATTTAATAAATGAAGTTAACACATAAAAAGTTATTAATAAGAAGACAAAAAAATTGTTAGGCATTTTATTAAAAAGCTGAATATTGATATGATGAACTGAGAAAAACTGAAAAAGAGGTAAAAATGTATGGCAACACGAAGAACGTTAAATTCTGCATCTTTTCAGATTTTTTTAAATATACGTATAGTTATAAATCTATTTCGTAAATCTGGCATCGTTAAGACAAAGAAAAACCATACTGAAAAGTTTTTGTGAGTGTGTATCTACTTCTATAGGACTGTAAGACAGTGCAGTAAGACTATAAGACAGTGCTCCTATGGAAAGGAGGGAAATTTATATCCCATTTAATCGCCTTTTATTTCAGCAAACGTTACGGAATAAAAAATAAGATATTTTTATTCTTGAAAAACAAAATAGAATGTTGAAAGTTGCAACTCAGTTTTCTATATTTTATGTTTTTTTATTACTTCAAATGATTCATAATTTGTAACTCGCATAAATGACTCATAATTTGTAACTGGCATAAAATACTTCGAAACTTTCCGTGTTTGTTTCTTATGGTACGTATTAAAAAATGCATTGGACCTGTTTATTAGATTATTAATTTGCAATAGCTAGAAAAAAAATCTCTTCCAGTTATTACGATGAAATCATATTTGCGACATATAAACGCTATTGCCAGTCAATAATAGATAAAATGTTTCTTTTACCTTCGAGATTATAAAATGCGTTGCTTAATTTAGCGTTCGCCGTTTTACCTGGACTTCTTATTAGCATTTTGCAAGAAGTATTATTTTATAATAATTATTATTTTATTGCAAGAAGTATTATTACGGAAATGTCTTAAGTAAGAACATATTATAATTAGAATGTTTGTATGATTTCTGCCCAATTCATGGCCACATACAGCTTCTTTTATTTTTTGTTACTAAACTACTGATGTTGTCCTCGTGGGAAGTCGAGAGGGTGTTGCTTTAGATAGTTGCGGGTTCTGATCTATACCCGAAAAGGTCTGTGTAATTCGCCTAGGTGTCCGGACCCTGCTTTCGCCTGTCATCTGTTCTAATCTAACGCGGCCTAACTGATATAGTGGTTAGTGACGCTGAGTGCCGTACCAATGAACCCGTGTTCGAATCCGGAAAAAGCATGGCTGTTTTGTAAGCGTATAGTATCTGTGCGGCAAAGCGGTACTCAAAATACACAGCGAGCCGAAAATTCTCTCAGGATCGCACTTCTGAAGAGATTGTTCTTGGATCGCCTTTCGGCAAAGAGGCACTCAAAATGCACGGTGAGCCGAAAGTCCTCTCGAGAGGTTGATGGTAGGGGAAAAGGATTGGAGGACCTTGAAAATCCCTTTAGGTGTTTTTTCTAAAAATTGGGGCGGAAGCTTAAGGGTTATCAAGGCCCGATGATACCTAATATACTTACAGATATGCACAGGTGCCAGCCTGGCTTCAACCTGTACCTGTCATTATTTAACAAGTTCAAGTCTCCCAATATCCATTTCAATTCTTCAGTAAAAGGCCGATTGGCCATTTTTTGTTAGAATGTTGTTTTGTAATTGAAGAGGACCATGAGGCTTCTGTTACCTCAATGCAATAGAACTGCTTTATTTAGAGAGAGACAGAATTTTTTCATAGTCTTCATTGTTACATTAATAATTATTGCGATGCAGTGCCTGGATTAATCACAAGATGCAGTATTCTACAGTGCGGTAATGTGTTTGACAGTTAAATCCACTGATGGTGTGGTAAAATATCTTAAAAAAGAAACAATTAGTTTTAGTATTGTGCATTTTAATTTAGAACTTTTTTCCAGTACTCCTCCGATTTCAAAGTTACAAATTACATCCTGATTCACCAAGGTCATTAGTTTGAATCTGAATAATATAAATCATACAAATACAAATTCAAATTTTAATTAATTAACATTTCAATTTTTGTAACGTAATTTTGTAACGTATAGCGCCAATTCGATTGTTTTTGTTATTACATGAGATTGAATCAACTAATTAAACTGACTTATGATGTTTAGATAATTCTTTAATAATTCTAATATTTTGCTTTCCCCCCCCTAAGACAACCAGATCAATTACTTTTATGGAATTATCAGCATATTTGAAACAGGAGCAATGAGACTATAAAAGGGATTATTTAAAATTTCAATTTATTGAAGTCAAAAAATAAATGGTGCTACAAACAAAATTTGTAGTTCAGAAAATTACACACTGTGCTCCGAAGATTACAGTTGCAGTGGCCGAGCTGGTAAGAGGGCTGAATACTGATATTTCGATCCAGGTTCGAACCTAGGCGAGTGGACTACCTGCATGGTTTCCATGATTTTCCCTATGTGTAAAGCTTCGTTCAGACGGGGGCGTAAAGGGCATAATTGGTTAAAGCCGAGCTCCGTTGCCAAGGCAACCAATCTGTGAAACATCACAAAATCTGGTTTAGAGCTCGTGGCATAGGGTTCGAAGTTTTCAACTTTACGCGAGTTTGGGATAAGCGTCGACCAATCAGAGCGAAGGTAAAAGAACCGTTCCGAAGATTTTTCACAAAACAACAAGCGAAAAGGGAAATCATCGAAGAGAGAACAGCGCGGAAAAGTTTGTAGATACATCCACGCATGCGCAAATTTAACTTCTCTCATTGGCCACGGCTTATACCCCGTTCTCGCAAGTGTGAACGGAATTCCCGTATTTTATGCCCTTATGACTACGCCTCTATGCCCTTTACGCCGCCGTCTGAACTCAGCCTAACATGACTACCAACCGAATTTCCTTAGAAAGTCCCCCGCGAAAGTGTCCTTTCCCTTGGCACGGAGCATTTTTTTTAAACAATGAAATTTTGTTTGTGTTCTTGTAGTGGTTAATCCTACTTGTCTGACCCAATCAGAACAAGAACACGAATTTTATCGTGACAGGGAGTGCAAGTCATTGATATGAGCGTTGAGCACCATATCATGTAGGTGGCAATACAAATTTGCTCAGTTCGGCTCCAGTTTTGAAGGAAAACGCCCAGGAAAACGAAACCGAGAGTTTACCACCTCTCGTCCTCTGCCCCTAAACCACTCTAGAGCAAATTCGGCTTTTCGTATATTTTGAATGTCCTCATGCTACACATCTACTATATATTTAAAAACATCCATACCTTAACCGGGATTCGAACCCTGGTCTGACTGTCAGACGGAAGCTGACAACCAATACCACTCATATCGCCCACAAACTCCGCACCTTTGGCCTTCTGCTTGGCGTGAAAAATTCAGTCTCATTATTTACAAGACAGAATCTGTATAGCTTCGATTACCCTAACACCCTTACACGCCAAATCAGAAGATTATTTCTACACCCTGAAATAAAATCTTGCATTACAAGAAGAATTTTCGACAGCATTCCAAATATCTAGAACAACGGTTCTCAACCTTTTAATTAACGGGTACTATCTAAACAAAAATTGAAAACCTTTAGTACCACCACTACAAAGTACTATATTACCACTACCACTCTTGAACCTAAGCTCAGGTCGAATAAATTTGCGATTGTTAGAGATAAAACTCAATCAGGATGTTGGGGTTTTAATTTTTGAATTTAATAGTTAAAATTCTTTGCTTCTATGCGTACGACCTATTTTTCTCTTCCGTACCACCAGTGGTACGCGTACCATCGGTGAAGCCCTGATCTAGAGAAAAGAAAAGCCTCAACAACTGGCGTCCGGGAAAACACCTAAGTGATCTGCGGACATATTAAAAGGTATTCTGTTTTAACCCTTTCAGGGGCGCAATGTTATAAATTTTTAAAAGTTCCGGAAAAGTAAGCATAATGACATGCAAGGTCCTATAGACAACATAAATGAGTGTAAAAAAAATTTTTTTTTCGACCCCCTTTATGGAAAGGGGACCGGTTCGCCTTGAAACCAGCCGCCCGTCTAGAGCATTTAAGACTAAGCATTTGCTATTATCTTTACTTTGCTGGAAAGTTTAACGTAACCCAATTGCAGATATATAGTAAATTATGAACAACTAATGAAGTAAGTAATATTTGCCATAAAACGTATTTTTAAATATACAGTAATATAAAAAATTTAAAACAGAAACAAAATATGAGACAAAAAGTAACTAATAATGCACTAAATTACTTACATAAAACTAGAAAATAATTTTAAAAATTATGTTAAAAACTAAGACAATTATATATGGAAATAAAATAAATTTAGATGTATACAAATATTTTAATATGAACTAGAAGAATGAGAAAAGCGATGGCGAAGAGAAGCAGAATAAAAACGCGACTGTGAGTGTTCTTCAGTGTGCTCTGTCTCTCTGTAAAAAATAGGAAATGTTTTCCCTCTCTGAAAAGCTCCATAAATCCTCATCTTTGAAGCCACTCAAAGGAAGATATGGTGCAACTGCTTACAGCAGTGATCCCAAAACAATAAACGCAGCTGTAAAAAATCTCGCGACTGCGTCTTTTGATCCTTTCTTCGATGTCTCAGAGGGGTGGTGGTTTCATATTGAAACCGCGCTGAAAACATTCAAAATTAAAAGGGTTCCATTACTTTTTTTGGTGAACTAAGGACATTTCATTAATCATTGATGCCTGATTATAAAATATTGTGAAAAATTAAAAATTGTTGGGCTTTTTGTTCTAAAATAGCCCAAATGAATAATGACAAAAAACAAGCTATTTTTGAACGATTCCGTATCAATATGATGACCAAAAAGGTTAGTGGCTGCATCTGTTATCAGCTTTAAGAAGTAATTTAATTTTAGCAGCAGTTCTGAGAAAATGAAACCAAAATTTCTAAATTAAAAAAAAATGTTGAAAATGCGGTTTCAAGGCGAAACCACCGCCCCTGAAAAGGTTAAAAGGTTTTTTTATTAAGTTAATATTCAATACCGATATTATTTAACTTGTCAGAAGATCTGCTAGCTTTCACATGTAGTCAGTCATCTTAGAAAGGTTGAAAGTCCAGGAGACATTTGAAACTGATTGTATTAAAAAAAAAAGAAATCTAAATATGTATAAAATACCTTTCTTCGATTTTTTTCTTAATGATTTCACTTTCAGACGTTTATAGACGGAATATGTTTGGCGACAGCTTTTATAATCCAGGTAGAAATTTCATAGTTTTGGAGGTATGGGGTGAGCCTTTTATTTACCTGTTTAGTTTTGTTTATGAATATAAAAAACTGCTTTTATTCAAGTTTTGGTATTTATCAACATTTTCTAAATTTTTTCTTGTTTGACTTAAAAACGCATTAAAAAATTATCTAAATTTAAGTAAATAATAAGGATTTTTCGAATTTTCTAAAATCGGTTGAAAGAATTGTCTAGCAATCATAAAAGAGGTGGGTGAGGCAAAAAAAGCTTGAGAACCGGCTGGTCCAAACCTTTAAACTGAAAAACAATCATAAAAAATATTATGCATGCTTTTGAAATACTTGTAAGGCATATTTTGGTTTTATAACAGTTATTTTAATTTTGAAACCCTTTCCTATCAGTTCTTGTTTCCACTTAACAACTTTCTACCAGAATGAGTTTTTAGAATCGCGTTGAATGCAAATTGAGTTATTTTCATTGCAAGTATTTAAGAAAGGTTCAACTAACTTCGATAGTGAGCGCTAGGAGTCCTTAGTAGCGCGTGTCTGCCATCTGGCTAAGTCACTTTTGAAGCTGTTACGCTCGACCGTATATTACGTGTCGGCTCTAGTGTATAATTGGGTTCTCCTTCGATTAACGACAATTTTTTTAAAATTTTAGCTATGAAACCTCACTTCTGGTTACCATGATAGTTTCAACTTTGTTTTAGCTTCCTGATTTTATTTAAATGAAAATAGATTGATGTGTACATGGACAAATTTAAGGCAGGGCGCAATGCCTAGTTGTGCAATTCAGGATGTTTTTAAGTGAAAACAGATCGATGGTACATGGACAAGAGTTTGTGCAGTTCCTTTACTTCTTATTTTGGTTTTCTGTACCGGCCATCTTGAAATTGTGCCTTCCTGGCGCCGATCTTGGCGTCAAAAAAGAATCGCCAAGAAACAAGCGGCACCCAATAGTAAACTTTTACGTTACGTGTCTTTTGATATTCGCCGGCTAGTTTAACTTAAGGGCCAACTACGTTGGATAATTGTGTCTAGCTTTGGCTAAGTCTCATTTAGTTAATTATAATTTCGTTTCTTGTTTCTGAGTTAAAGCCGGGTAGAGGCTTCCTGTAAGCCTTAGAAGTAGCTGACTTTTATTCTTATTTGAGTGAATAAAAGTGTAACTGAACTCAACTATAAAGAGGTTATCACAAATGGCTACAGTCCCTGCTAGACGGGACTTTTCTAAGAAACGAGATTCTGGTAGCACTGGTTTAAATGGGAGGATTCCTAGAAAAAAGAGCCCCGCTGGAAGCGAAGTCCCGCCTAGCTAAGGAAATAATGTTGCGGCTACGTGGGATTTTTTCAAACCTCACCAAAAATGTCTCGGGTCCCGAATAGAGACAACCAATCAGACGAAAGTTCTGCTTCTGAAGGATCACGTGATCCCAATTTGAGCGATAATCGATTACTGTTTGGCGTTCAAGTCTTTGTGGTAAGTGAGATTGGTAACCCAGCTACGTGTGTTTACCGGAATTGTGCAGATTCTGAGAATTCTCCCCTTTCACTTCAAGTCCCGCGTAGCCGAAACATAATGTGATTGGGACCTAAGTCGTTACATAGTTCATTAGGTTCTTCAACGGTCATCATATACAAAAGGAGTTAAGAACCCTACATACTAATAAACTAATAACTCAAATAAACTAGTCTTCTTTTTCATTATAGAAGATGGTCAATGGGCGAATGGTCAAAGTGGAATCCCTGCTCTGTGACATGCGGTAAAGGCCTGAGAAAACGACACAGGAATTGCGACAACCCACGTCCATCGAGAGGAGGCAAATGGTGTCCTGGCAACCATTTGGACACACAAATTTGCGAGTTTCCCTTCAGATGCGCAGGTACAGATTTATTTCTGCCTACTTTTAATCAATTTATATTCAGAAAATGATGTAAATGTGTTTAAATAACCTTCAGTTTTTAAGCGTTTGACTTATTTCCATTAAGTAGTTCCTAAATTCGATCTTTATTTTCTCGTAATTTCTATAAAAAGAGTTTTAGTGCATCTCGTAGAGCAGCGTGATGTGCAACTCCGTTTTCACCAGCCAAAATTCTGTTCATTTCATGACTGTTTTGCACTGCACGTTTTATAGCGGATGGTAACTGGGGAGATTGGGGTGAATGGACAGAATGCTCAATCAGTTGCGGAGAAGGTGTGAGACATCGTTACAGAGCCTGCAACAATCCTGCCCCACAAAATGGAGGAAAGGATTGTGAAGGAGATTCCCAACAATCTGAGCAATGCGTTAATATCAGAGAATGCCCACGTAAGTTATTAATAAAACTGTTTTCCTTATCATTTTCTTTTCTTGTATTGCTTAGTTTTGTTTCAGTTTGTAAGCTTATAAAGACCATATTTTATTCTAACCAATTATTTTTACTTTGACTTTCCCTTCCCTCCTGATTTCAGTTTCCTGCTGGAATGTAAATTTTAATGGCGTAGTATGCGGAATCTAAGTGCGTTTAGAAGCAGTATTTAAGCTGCGGTATAAGATTTCGTGAGGAGTAGTAGCGGAGTTCCAAATTTATGCTGCGTGTTTAACTCTCTGAGGGGATGAAAAGGCAATTAACTTTTTCAGCAAAACTCTTGTTTTATTTACTATATCAGGTGTTACAACGAAATTATTTGCGACAATTACACATATTTTGTCCAAGACGCTTGAAAAAAATTAACACTTCTCGTGGTTAATGTCAGTGACCACTGCCCACAGAACACATCCCTACAAATCAGTCTGTAGAGTATTGACGGAAACAGTTTTTCTTCTTCAAGTAGAGTGCAACTTTGCAGGTGCTGAAATTCCCACACTGTTCTTATAGGCTTTTTCTTGGTGATCGTCGTGGTTGTCTTCGATGGCTGATGCTTATTTTCTTGAAGAAGAATTGCTGCATCAGCTACTGGCTTATGTTTCTTGATTGCCATCTAGTGAGCTAAAAGGGAACTTCAGAAACGGTCAGTCTTGAAAACTACTTACAAGGGAGTAAGACATTCAGTAGAAAAGATACTAGACTTTATCGTCAAAATATGTACTTCCTTATCGCATTGCTTTATCAATAATTGCTCCTTTTCCTGCTCGCTTCCTAAGAATGGCATCAATTTTGGGAGTTCTTGCTGCTATTGCTGCTTACCTAAATTTGCCAGTGAGATTTGTAATTAAATGAATCAGTTTAATCACTAATGGCAAATATCACATCCATCCTCCTCCCTTATATTTATTTATTAATATGTCGATAAAATAGAAAAAAACTATTTATTAATGTATACAGTCCATAAATAAAAATGATAAGTCAGCTTGTCATTAATTTTTTTCAATTCATTTTAATTTCATTTCAAATTCAAACTGTACCACAAAAACTGGAGACGGAGTTGACCTATTTTTAGCGACTCCAGTTCCGATTCCTTTTACCCCAAAATTTGTCCGACTCCGATTCCGACTCCACAGCACTGGTGGTAATATGATGTATATGTGAATGGCGACACTTGAAATCTGTCTGTAAGAATGGCCTATACAGGTACTGGTGCTTAGAGAAAGGGTGTGCAAGACTGTCGTTTTTTCCTGAGATGTTTTCAATCAAAACAAAGTGATGGCAATGTCTCTTTCTATATATGCGAAGCTAAATTGACAAACGAGAGGAACAGCACATATAATGCACATTAATATACCCAGTTGATATTGTTCAGTATAATGAATCAGAATAACTTCTTATATCCAAGTTAACGCTGACTTCTAGAGTAAACATTCTGTGTAAACTCAAAATCACAGTGCATAAAACATTGATAAGATCCTCATTCAGCACAGTCAAAGTCTTGGCAGGGCCTCTTTAATAACCACAGGTCACAAAAACGCATCTTCCGAAGTAACTTTAAAATTTCCGCTACAAATTTTAATATTCTATAGAGATTTTTGGCTAGGCCTAGCGATAATAAAATGCTCCACCAACTGAGTACAAATGCAGATAGTCATTTAACAGACGGTACCAGCAACACAGCTGGTGGTAAGTAAGTAAATCTGAATCCGAATCTGTCTTCTTTCGATCAGGCCTTGATTTTCTAGAATCATTACCTGTAATTCATCGTAGTGCCTATGGCATTTCGCGTTGATTAGGTACATAATGGTGTTTGAAGAACACCAACACCCGGGGGGTGAGAGCAAAATAGGAAGAGTCATTCATTCTTCGTTGAAAAGCAATCTCGTTGAAATGCAAATGGCATGCGATAGGTGAAAATGGTATAATCAAAATGACAATCAGCAATTATTTACATGAAAATAGCAATAATTTTAAAGGCATATCAGCGCATAGTTGTAAAAGTAACCAGTCGTGGAGACAATTAAATAGATATGCAATGAGAAACAATTGAAGTTCGTATGGCATAAGAATAAGCAAGTGCGAAGCAATTTGAAGTCAGTAATAGCATTTAAAGTTAATAATAGCATTTAAAGTCAATAACCATGGCAAAATAAAAGTCCACGAAGCAATCATAACAATTAAAGGAATCGTGATCATTCCGAAAGATCAGCAGAACGTAAATGATGACTGAGATCTAATTGATAAGCATAAAGTGCTGTCCTCTTCTGTTAAGTAAGTATTGTCTCTTACTATATATGCCAAGCTAAATTGACCGACGAGAGAAGCCTCAAGATTACAAATTACGATGGCTTAGTCATCGTAATTTGTCATCGAAATGACTATCTATAAAAAGGCTTATTAATAATCCAAACCAACAGGCTATTTCCTGTTGCTTTCAAGTAAAAGTGGTCATCGAATGCTTTCACTTTCAATGCAAAGTGAAAATGTTGAGTAGCCTCTATTTTATTCATAAAGCTATCAAACACACCGCCCATGCGCAGCAATATTTCTACACTAAATCAATTGCAAAGTATTATGAAGTAAAAGTGATCAGCGAATGCTTTCACTTTCAATGCAAAGTGAAAATGTTGAGTAGCCTCTATTTTATTCATAAAGCTATCAAACACACCGCGCATGCGCAGCAATATTTCTACATTAAATCAATTGCAAAGTGTTATGAATTTTAACTCTTACAAGATGAGCTTTTTTATAAATAGAATGTACACCTTAAACAAATTGTTAAGTACTTAATTTTTGCAACAGATGACTATCACATGCGTCGCAATATATTTTCCAAACTTCGGGTGATATACTGCTATTTTATTACATGTGTGCCTTTTAAATTTAGTTTAATTCTAGTTTTGTAACTAATAGACTCACTTTATTTTCATAAGTTGAAAATTATCATTTCTGATAGACGTTTTATAATTAAAATATTATCAGTCACCAATGGCAATGGAATAATTTTATGTACTTAGGTGATGGAAAGTGGTCTTCATGGGGCAAATGGTCTTCGTGCTCTGTGACTTGTGGCCGAGGTGGTATTCAGCATCGCTATCGAGCTTGTAACCGTCCTAAACCTTCTGCAGGTGGAGCTCAATGCAAAGGTCTCAATCATGAACAAATAAATTGCCAAGCGCCAGAAAGATGTCCCGGTAAGTAAAATTTTATAGTTGATTATGAAGATATTGAGAAGAGCGTGTCGAAAGAATTAAGAAAGAAAAATTTCATTCTTTTCAAGTCAAATAAAAAGATAACAATATATAACAGAAACTCTTTTGGAGAGGCTGGAAGTTAAAAATGTTCCCAAAAAAATTTTGAATAAAAGCACATGTCTAGTTATATTTTTTCTATATCAATTATATCTGGTTAATTTTTCCTACATATCCTTCTTTCTTCTTTGTAAGCAACTGCACAAAACTCGAAGTTATTCAACTTTGGATTTAATGACACGGTTCAAGATCTCTTATAAATATTATTCTTTTACAGCCACTTATAACTCGTTTCTCCATTTTAAATGATGTTTACTCAATGAAATATTCATTTCTAATGATGTTACGCAAAGTTTTAATTACTGATTTAATATACATAATTAAATGAACTTATTATCCAAATTAAACTTCTTAAAAATACAGGTATCGTGTTAATAGTATCTTTTATTAATTAATATAAGGATTATTCCTCTTTTCTACTCTTTTAAGTGACCTCAGATTAACTGCACTTTGGAATTAAGAGTGACGTTGTCTCTCATATTAACCGTTTAAGGTATCCGACTACGTTCGATATCTGAATTTAGAAAAAGAAAAAAAAAAAAAAAAGTACAAAGAAATCATTATTGGTGTGGAATTTTAAGAGTGACGCAGGAGCGTAGCTAGAGTTTCCAGCGCCCGGGGACAACTGAAGAATTTGCGCCCCTTTCTGTATGCCAAGAATGGGAAACATTTCATTAAAAAATTTCGTAGCATCAATTTGGCGCCCTTTGGATGCTGCGCCCGGGGACAGATGTCCCTTCTTGCCCCACCCTAGCTACGCCACTAGAGTGACGTTGTTTCTCATATTAACCCGTGTAAGGTATACGACTACGTTCGATATCTGAATTTTGAAAAACAATACAAAGAAATCTATTATTGGTGCTATTTAGCAGAATGATTCTTAAAGTGACATAAATAGACCCTAAACATATTACCAAAATATAATTTTTGGTGTTTTTCCACTTTTAGGTTTAAAATGGGTTAAAATTTAAGGATTACTAAACAAAAAATTTTATTAATATTTTACTTTTATTTTTTTCACTTATATTTATTACGACATAAGGTTTTAAATGTACTAAAATCCAACTGACAAAGTAAAATGTCAACTAAATGTAACTATTTGAGTACATGTACAAGCTATTTTTCGAGAAATTTCCCTCTCTACAAAACTGACTGCAAAAAATGTTAATATGTTCAAAAATTTAAGCTTTTATTCCGTTTAATTCACAATATTTCATATAATATTTATGAAAAGTTTCATAAAATTACTTTAGTAATTATTATTAAGTACATATTAAGTTACAGTTTGTTTCTTAATAGAAAAGTTTAAAAAATCGAGTTTTTTAAAAAAGGAGTTTAATGCAGTATAAACACAAGCAGAATGAAAAGAATATGTTTCCAATTATAAAAATGAAATAGCGAAATTAATCGTAATACTGAGCATTTAGAGACAATTAGAAAGTTCCAAAATCATTTTTGAACATACCCAAAGCATTCGAGTGAAACATTCTCAGTTTAAAGGTAGTCTATACTACTTTCAACATCAACTTCTGACGTTTTAAACATCAGAAGCAATGACGTTGCCTACCTAGAAATCAAAAGAAGAAAATATTCGTAAGTAAGGTATTAGTAAGATTCTAAGAAACAGTTTAAGAAAAAATAAAGTATGTTTAGAATACGATTAGACTCAAATTCCGAAAATAAACCTAAAAGCAATGATTAAGAGAAATAAATAGATAGTATTGAATTTGTCTATTTTTATTGAGAACATTCTACTTTTTGTGATATTATTACTAAAAATATTGCATAAGTAAAATAATAGTATTGTGTCATGTGGGTGTCCCTAAAGAAGCTAATTGTTCTTCAACCTTCATGTAGCACGTGTCTTCATAATCACCTTCTCTTCAACGGTCGCCGGCTTGACAGGTCCATCAGCCGAGGAAGTACACTAACCTATTGCAAAACATGTGCTTTAGCCTCCAGTTTGCTCCGTTAAATATTTTCCTACTCAGATTAGCAATAGAGACGTGTTATTGCACTGACTTTGTCGCGTATAGCTATGTGTACTCAGTTAGTATAATAGTAGGTACTTTGTAGGCGATCAAAACTTTTTTATATTGGGACAACACGTTTAATTACATTAAAATATATGTATAAATAAGTTAGTATAAACTTAATCCACTTTAATGTAATGCAAATTGGTTTACAACTTTAAATCTGTCACCGTCATTGTTTCAATATGTTTGGAGTCTAACTGAGTACGTCAGAGAGAAATTTCAAGGTCCATGGAAATTTCACGAAATACCAGCTTAGCGCCATCTGGCGTTCAACATTGGCACCACAATATAATTTAGGATATAAAGAATGTTTGTTGACAACATGAGTGAAAACTTGCAAACGCAGTACAGTGATGAAAACAGAAGGCACTTCTACAGGCCCCTAGGCTGGGAAAGCCACATCCTGTGTGTAGCGTCGTGTGGAAAAGCATATCTTTCCTGGCATAACATAGTGTAGTTTATTACTGAGAAAAAATTCACGTGATAAGCAACGAATGAGCCTTACGTAAATACAGTTCTAGGAGTCAATCGAATCATAAGCTGGAGATGTCAAGAGCAATAAATATGGCAATACTGTAGGAAAAGGCATATCTTAGATGTCGCATGCTACTGTCACGGCTTCCGGCGCTCAAATGACTGACTGACTGATTAGGTATCGCCGGCACAATCAATTTATTGCCACATGGGCGCCTCACGTTAGACTGTGAGTATATTAAACCCGTAGGTAATGAGAAGGTAGGTAATAGGGGATCGAAACATCGCGCGGTCGAAAATCCAGCAAACATGAACAGACAAAACGTGGTAAGTATATCGTCATAATTCTGTGTGAAAAAGGAAACAAAAAAAACGAAAAAATAGAATAGTACTTTACAATAACAAGTCTATATGCAATATATATACTATATACATGTAGCTACGCACGAGTAACCCTAAGTAGGAAAATTTGAGTCTTTGGTGAGGTGGGCCGCTAACGGTCTAATATTACAGTCCTCCTCCAAAATCACATAATTCAGTGTGTTCAGATTTGACAGATGGGCACAGTTAACGGCTTTCTGGTAAAAACTTCTATTCAGCTTATGAAGATGTTCTTCTATGGTTCCAAGTTCCAAGTTACACTTATGCCGAGATTATCAAGAATTCTGCTTGATGTGTTCCGGCTGTCATCAAATGTTTGCTCTTTGGGCGCTGAAAAGAGAATAAGTTCGAAGTGTGAGTCCAGATGGGCAGGAGCTAATGGCGAAGGGGTGTGACCAGTTGCAAGCTGACTTATCATTGGTTGCGAGTCTTCTGAGAAAATTCTTCTATGCTACTTAACTTCAGATCCTTATGTTACATGGCATTACTTACAAAATAGTGAGCATTTGTGATCAGTCTAAGAATCTTATTTTGCAGTAGCTGCAGCTTATGTAAGTCATTCTTGTTGGCCGTATTTCAGGCGGGTGATGCATAAGTTATAATCGGCCTTATGCTCATGATGTAAACAAGCCGTTTTCTGCGTAGGTCTAATCTAAAATATTTATTCAGCAGGGGCTTTAAGCTATTTATTACCGTGAAGGCCTTTTTTTGACGTTTGTGATATGGTTTTTCCACGTCAGTTTCTCATTAAGTATAACCCCAAGGTATTTTGCATTTGACACTTGTGGGACCACTTCGTTGAACAAATAGAGTTTTCTCTTGAGCTGAGTTTGAGTGTGTTTCCTTCTAAGTAACAGCAACTGGGATTTCGGGCATTGATTGAAATTCTCCACTTGGTACACCAACTTTCAATTTCTGGCATAATGTCTTGTAGTTTCTTTACTGCGTGGCTGGCGTTAGCAGACATCACAGCTAGAGCTGTGCGGCGCTCAAATGAAGGTAGAATGAATTGAAGAGGAGGTCTATTAGGAGCTGGGAGGAGCCACTGGGTCACGTGGTCTAATGGTCTACCTGGAAAGAGAGTGCATAGGAAAGAGAGTGCTCGTCAGGCATTGGTCAGGAGCGGGGCTAAATTATAAATCCTACTTAGCGAAAATTCAAATTACAGAATAGTTAAAACTGGCAAAATTAAAACAAATACGTGTGGAAATAAAAGGATCATGTGCTGAGATAATATAAGTTGGCCTAAATAACTATTGTGGGAGAGAAATGAATAAAAAAGAATACTTTGTAAAGCATGGTAGCGAAAATAAAATAAATAGAGCATGGTGTTAAATGTAGATGGCGACACTTATGCGTGTCTTAAAAGAACCTAAAATAGTACTAGAAGTGAAATTAACGATGAGAAAACTAATTAAAAACATAGGACAATGACTCCCGAATGAAAGCACAGCAAGGTACAATTAAATTAAGTGCCGGAGTACTGCTCCGAGTCTTTTTACTTCCTTGTACGAAATAAAAAGGAAGTATTGTAATCGTGAAAAGTTTCAGGCAGCATATTTCAACGAAAATATCAATTTTGACCGCTATCGAATGCAATTTAACTATGTTTTTGCGTGATATCTGTACGTAAGAACAGAATAAAATACTCTTTTCGTTCAAAAAAATTATAAAACTGCTTTAAAATGAATTCTGAAGAGAATTTTTCGTGGCGTCTGTACGAACGTATGTACGTACGTATTTCGCATAACTCAAAAACGAGTAGCCTCAGAACGTTGAAATTCTGTATATAGGACTGCTATAACATGTAGATGTGCACCTCATATTTTGGTTGCAATCGGCCGCACCAAACGTATATAAATATATTTATATATATATATCCACTCTATTACCCGGCTCAGTGATCTCAGTTTCTTTACTCTTATATGTTTGTAAATTGTACATTTTTTGCTTTAAAAATGATTAAATTATGTTGTTTTTATCTTCCGGTTAAGGGTTTTATGCCTTTAGTAAATCTGTGTGCAATATTTTTAGAATTATCAACAATTTTAATGTTGTTTAATTGCCGCTAAGCCTGTTTTTAATGTCGGCCATTGATGTTTACATTTGAAACAGGAGACTAGTGGATTTGTTGCCAATCTAGAGAAACTTAGCTTCGCAACAACAAAGATAACGCATTCATTTATTATTGCCAATTAAATCATGTTTAATTCTTTCTGGAATTTTTTCGAGGAAATAGCGTTTGAGATTTACTTCGTAATTTTTAATATAGATATTTTGAGTTTTTATGTATTTTTGCCTTGTCGCGAAGTGAGAACTGAATTAATTAAATGAGAAATACTCAATCGTCTGTGAAAAACTGTTTTTTTTTTTGTTTTGTTTGCTTAATTTCTTTTATACATAGTTCTAGCTTTATTATAGTATTTGAATAGAACATGTGGCAATGATTAGATAATTCTTTAAATGATATACATTTTGTGCATTCTGAGTTATAATATGAATGAAATATAATACTGTTAAGTAAACCTAGCGCCAGAGTGTCGCTATGGTAAACAAAGTGAATTTTAAAGAATGCATTTATTCTATTGTGGTTTATGCGCTGTCGGCAAAGTAGGTTTAATTCAATCTAATAAGTTTAAATAAAATGCAAGAAAAAATGCATATAATTTAATATTCCGTACAAGGAAGTCATGTGGTGTACACATCAGATTTTTTTGTTTTCATCATCAGTGTAGTCGTAGTTCAATCTAGGAATGGAACTATTATTGACTTTTTCGGATATTATTAAAGAATGTTTTTGCAATGCAAATGCTGATGCTATCAATGTTTAATTCATTATGGATGGCCTCGTTTCAGAAAAACCAGGGACTGTTGGAAATTCTTCTTAAAGTGATATCCTGGCATTGCTGGATTTTAAGCATATTGGTTTTACATACATAACCCCAGACGGGACAGGCGTAAGTAACAATTGGTCGCAGCATGGATCGGAATACATGAAGTTTGTTTTGGATAGATAGAACGGAGTTTCAGGCAATTAAGGGGTTGAGTAATGCTCTAGTACGCCGAAACTTATTCAAAATATATGTGATGTATGGGGTCTAAGGGAGTTTTTGGTCTAAAATGACACCGAGGTATTTAACTTGCTTGGCCCAGGGTATGCTGACATCGTACATCTTGAGGGTGATATTCAGGTCAAAATTTCTTTTTTTAGTGAAGTACACAGCTTCAGATTTTTCCACATTCGTTTTTATCTTCCATTTGATCATCCAGGACTCTAGTGCATTGATGTGTTCTTGTAATGTTTGTACGACTGCGGCCATGGACGTGTCTTGATAGAGGATCGCAGTATCATCTGCATAAAGTGCTAGTGTAGTGAGGGGGTTGTGAGGGATGTCGTTCGTATAAATTGAAAATAAGGTGGGCGAAAGTAAAATTCCTTGAGGCAAGCCGGCGAAAGTTACTTTACGTGTAGAGTGAGTATTGTTATAACGAACGACAAAGCGTATATCGTAAAGATAGGAATTAATAATGTTTATGATGTAATCTGGGCAGCCCAGAGTGATTAATTTGTAGGTGAGGCCCTATAACCATACACAGTCAAAGGCTTTCGAAATATCGAGGAAGAGAGCTCCTGTGATGAGTCTTTTCTTGAATCCTTCTGCTATCATTTCAGTGATACGCTTATTCACAAAGCCTACAGACCGTTTCTACTGCTATTTGCTCCGATTGGTTAAAACAGGAAACGTAGGGTTACAGAACCTAGTGCTTGGCGACTTTTGGTTCATCGCCTTTAGAATTTGTATTAAAGCGTGGTGTACCAAAAATTGTGCATAACTCACCGGAGAAACCGCAGCTCGGAGGTAACGAGCGCAAAACAAGTCTCAGACTTCTTCATCGCCGGTTCTATCCTCGCTCGTAGCTATCATAAACTCTGCTCTACACGGATTTATTCTTATTTTAACTTTATTGAATGACTTCGTCATTATTTGTTTGGGTGAGGTGTTAAAAATTAAACGCCTTTATTTTCTCTATTTTTGTTAATTTTTCTTATTTTTATTTACTGGTTTGTACTCTTTTAGTAGGTACCAGTAGCAAGATTACGATCCAAGATCCCGAAAAGCGTTTCAATAGAAATAGCGCATAATGGAATAAAATATAATTTTAGTTAATAATTACTTTTCATAATTTAGGTAAAAAAGAATAGGTATCCGACGCCCTTAAATGTTTACTGAATGTTTTCATTTGGTTTATTTTTTTAATATTCCTTTATTTGTATAAATTAATGCGCTATGGAAATTTACACAACAGGCTCTTTCTAACAGAAATGACGAAAAAGTGCATATACTATCTCCATGTAAACACCTTTTTCTTGTAAAACAATTACGTACTTTTAAAAAGTTTAATTCAAATACAAATAAACTATTAATAAGATCGACTTATTTGCTTAATTGGTTTAAAACCAAAAATGTGGCAGAACATAGAAACTTGGTTCATTTCGCGAGCGCAAAAAACCTCCGGATACCACTACCGCGCTCGTAGCTATAAAAAACTCAGAATTCGATTATTCTTATCCTGAATAGCGTCATAAAATTAAAAATTATTTTATTTTGAATACTTCGTTTATTTTTTAATGAAATTTTAACGCCTTTAGCAAGAACGATTTTTATACACAAGCGTTTAAATTAGAAATAGCGTATGAGGAAAAATATAAAAAAGCGTTAAAAGAAAAGGCGCAAAATAAAAAAGCATAATATACGCCCAAAAACTGAGGGTTTTCATGGGTATCCGACCCGCCCTTTTATAAATTATGCGCATAATCATATTCAAATTAATTCTAGAAATGACATAACAGTAATAGAAAAGGGGCATAAACACCTTAAACAAAAAAACAATTACGTTTTAAAAATTTCAAATACAAAAAAATATAATAAGATCAGTAAGTTATATAAAATACATTCCACACAATTCTCCAAGCTTTATTCATAAGCTAAAAAAATTCGTATAAATAAACGCTGTTCCGTTTGTTTGGCGTTAATTACCATGCCTACAGGGCGATAACTCGCCATTGCAAGATAACTCGCCATTGCAAATATGACCGCCAAGCAGATGTTTCATCCAATGAAAGCAGACCCTAGAGAAATGGTCTGTAGGCTTTGTGAATATGCCAGTGACACGATAGAGTTGGTGCGTGGTGAAATGTTTACTCCTGAACCCATACTGCTGAGGGATGAGGATGTTATTGTCTTTTAAGAAGTCTTGTATTCTATTCAGTATGACAGCTTCAGCAATTTTACTTAGGGTCGATAATAAACTTATCGGCTTGTACAATGCAGCCAGAGTGGGATCCTTTCTGGTTTTAGAATCGGTGCGATGATAGCTGTTTTGGTTGGAAATTGGTTGGAAAGTACTGCAGTCGTAGCAAGGCGTTCAGGAGTTTGGTAAATTTGCATAACATTTTCCCTTCCATCTCCTTGATCATTTTGTTGCGATGAAACAGAAATGAAAGACTTTAGAAGAACGTTTCTCAAGCTGTGGTATTTGTACCACTAACATTATATTACATTTATTTTTGGTGGTAAAATTTTTGCACAAAAGATTAAAATGAATGTAAAATAGTGCCCCTGAATAAGAATACAAAATATGTGAAATATATGTGCATATATTTTGCATATTTTGTATTCTTATTTACGGGGTAAAAATATTTAAAAATGCCAATCCCTCAGTAGAACAGTGAAAAATACCTGTGTGAATTCCGTCAATAAAGAGTGCAGTGAACGAATGGCTCCAAAACCGCAAATCCGTTCAACATTTTGTACCCTAGCTGAATCAAAGGAAAGACTTAAGTAATGTTGTACGCTTGGAGAAATTACAAATGGGTTCGATGACGATGCTTTATGATTATGGTCTCAAAAAGAACATCAGATGGTACTCCAGTAAGTGACCAATTGTTTTAAATCTAAGGCACTTAGATTGCATGTCAAAGTCGTGCTACGTCCAATAAGAAAAGTAGAAACGAAACTAGTCACTTCGAAACCAACGTAATACACACATGCACATTAGAGTTAGATTATTTCTTTTACAATATAGGGTTTTCCTATTTTAATTATGTATTATTTTCATAGCTTTCCATTTGAGTTTTAAAAGCACAGTTATGCACAAAATATGTATTCTCTCAACTTTTTGTTTCTGCTTCTTATTGTATAGGGTTGCTTACTGTGTTCCATATAATTTAGATTTATTATATAACATTTATTGCAAATAAATATAACGCAATATATTCAAAAAGTTAAAACTTACCTGAACTCTGGTGTAACACAGTGCTTCTTGTTACAAATTCTTTAAAGCATATGATGGCTTAAATATCGTAATTATGATAGTCACAAGGTATAAAAGATCTTAATTTTGTTCCCACTTATTCAACAGGCTCTAAGTCGTAACTAATCAGAGAAAATAGATATATGCTACATAAATTGTGTCTACAGACTTAGAAATTAAAAGAACATATTAGTAAGTAAGGTATTAGTAAGATTTTAAGAAAAATTTTAAGAAAAAATAAATTAAAACTAAAACAGAGAGCTGGAAGTTTTTCCATCTCTCTGTTCCGCATGCTTGTTTCGCTATGACTGCTCCGCGTGTTCGTTCCGCGTGCTTGTTTAGCTATGACTGGTCGGTTTTACGCCATCTGAACACAAAGTTGAATAGTTAGATCATTTAAAAAAATTCTTATACTATTCTTTTTAACGAATCAAAATCTAGTTGCCTATGAATGAACTTCTGATTTTGCTACTTATGACTATTAAAATGTCATGAGAACCACCTAACGCCCTTAAATTATCTTTTGACGGCTGGACAGCAATATTCCTTACGTTACACATCTGGAGGCGACTATGTAAGCGTTAATGCGTAATTCTGCATTAGTGTGTCTCAGTTTCAATTATAATTTCTCATGTACTTATGTTTTTAGTTGATGGCGAGTGGTCTGATTGGACGAACTGGTCTCCATGCTCAGTAACCTGTGGAGCAGGCGAACAAAGAAGATGGAGGGCTTGTGATGAACCGCCTCCTCAACACGGAGGTGCAGACTGCGATAGAAGTGAAGCGGATGAGATGCAGATACGAAGCTGCAACGGAAGTCTTATTTTCTGCCCAGGTGAGTTATCTGCGGAACAGGCGCAGAGTACAAAGAGTACCTTTAAGTCTAATATCGGTTATTAAATAATGAAGAATAGTGTGTATGTATGCATGTATGTATTGTAAGTATGTATGTATGTATGCGTGTATGCATGCATGTATTAATGTGTGCAATCACACTGCTGGCCAATAAAATTGCAACGATAGGAGGCAACGATCTGACGAACGTCAAAATCACATAAAAGGAAGAAGAGGTTAGGATGTACATATTATTAGTATTTCAGCCCATTTGGACGACACAGGAGCGAGACACGACATCTGAAACACTGCATAAAAGAAAAGTGTAGTGGATTTCTCATTCGGAAAGCGCTTTGTAAGGTCGGAGTTTGCTCAGAATATCGTGTTATGCCTCGAATAATAAGAAGAAATGCTTACCAGCAAGTTTCGGAATGCGATAGAGGCAGGATCGTTGCCTATCGAGAGTGTGGATTATCGTTCCGTGATATCGCCCGTCACAATGGTCAATATCTAACCACTGTCATGCGAATATGGAATCAATGGGTAGCTAAGGGTCATATTCATCGGCATGCAGGATCTCAACGCCCTCCTATGACTAACGCCCGAGAGGACAGATATATTGTGAGGTCGGCCCTGCAATTCCCTTGACAGTACAGCAGAGAGCGAGAAGGCGACTTTGATGCGCCGAATGACAAAGCTGGATACAAGAGTGGCACAACGTAGTCTTTTTAGACGAGTCCCGGTTATTTGTGCAGTATTCTGATGGCCGTATACGTGTCTGGAGCCTCCGAGGAAACCGCACGTCTCCTGCTTGCATTCGATATCGACATCGGGACCCTGCACCTGGTGTAATGGTTTCGTCACTCATTGGGTGCTCGACACGCACATCTCAGTTTGGATCGACGGTAATTTGAACGCCGATCGGTACATTGCTGACACCTCACATCCAGTGGTTGTGCCATATCTTCGAGGCCTGCCAAACGTCATCTTCCAACAAGATAATGCAAGACCATATGTTGCAAGTCGTGTTGTGGCCTTCCCCGATACACAGGGTATGTTATTGCTGCCCTGGCCTGCACCGTCTCCAGATCTGTCGCTCATTGAAAATATCTGATCATGGATTGCTGAGAGACTGGCCCGCCACCCCTCTCTAGTCAACACGGTTGATGAAGTGTGGCATAGACTTGAAGCAGCATGGAATGAGTTGCCCGTTTCTATCATCCAAGCCTAGTTCGACTCCATACCTAACCAGGTAAGGCCCGCTTTAGATGGCAAAGGGAGCAGCTGTTTCTACTAATTTCGCACCTCTGTAAACACCCAAACTGCTTACAAATTTAATCATTTTAGATTCATCCCATACTGTTTACGAACAATAAATGTTTTTTGTATATGCTTTCCTTCATGATGTTGCAATGTTGCAATTTTAACGGCCAGCAGTGTATATAAGCATTTACGTATGTATGTATGCATGCACGTATATATGTATTTTCCTGGCATTGAGGGAAACCGGTGGCATCTAGAGCTGTCAAATTTTAAATACATTTAATTCTTCCACCCAATGATGTTTACCTCTAAGCCTGAATTTTTTTATTTGTTTTTTTAATTTACTTTATGTTTAGTGCGAACTTTATGAAACTTTTATTAACAAACTGAGCGATTTAAAAGTAATGTGTTGCCATTCGGCAAAGCGTAAGATGTTTAAGTTTCAAATTTAATCATAAAACGCAGCGATTTAAAAGAAATGTGCTGCCACTGGACAATATATTTGTTTCACGAATTAAATCACCAAATTCAGCGATTTACAAGAAATGTGTTGCCGCTGTCCGAAAGAAAACAGTTTTTTCTTCTAAGCACTAGTGTATTATCATTCTGCAAATCATAAGGTATTTAAAAGCAATGTGTTGCCACTCGGCAAAGCGTAAGATATTAATGTTTCAAATTTAATCAGAAAACGCGGCGATTTACAAGAAACATGTTGCTGCTGTCTGAAATAAAAGTTTTTTCTTCCAAGCACTGGCTTATTATCATTCGATAAATCATAAGGCATTTATTTCTTCTTTCAAATTTAATTTATTGATGAACTAACTGAGGAGTTTAAAAGCAATGAACAGAATTCTTCATTTCTCTTACAGGAACGAGTGATTTTACACCGGCTAATTATATATTTTTTATACATTTTAAAGTCTTTTCCGGGCACCTAGTCGCAGACGCGGCTGTTATAGCATACAATTAAGTCAAGTTTTATGTTTCCTATTACATTAAAATTTTTACATATGTCATTAAATTAAAGTTTCAAAATTTTCTTTGTCTTATTTGATTATATAAAAATAGTCTTATATGTAAAGTACTTTTCGATTTTTATTCGTCCTTGAAAAGAAAGAAGAAAGGGAGTAGGTTGTTTTTTCCCATCCCGTGTTTTCTGTTTATAATATTTGAAGAACTGTAGTACATATCTGATATAGAACTTGTACGGCCTATTAAATTATACACATCTTTTGCTGCACTTCATTTAAACTCATTTCCTCGAATTTCATTAGAGATATATTTCTAATTCAATCAGTTCAGTTCTTACTTCGAGGCAAAGCAAAAATAAATAAAAACTAAATCTTCATTAAACGTTGTAAAATCCGAAATCCTAAAACACCAAATACAGTTTAAAATAGCTTAATAAAACAATTTTTACAATTAAAATTAGAATTTCTACGCCAAAACAAGCGATTCAGACAGCCGGTAGGACGACAAAATTTTCAGTGCACAATACTGAAACTGACTTAATTCTCTATTCTTCTGAGAGTTTCCAATGATAATAAATAGCAGCCTCGTTAGGCTTAGCTCCACTTCAACCTTTAAATTTTTAAATTGTTGATAATTCTACAACTAATGCGAGGCGAATGCGGGGCAAAATCTATGCAGATCTACAACATACGTATTTTGGTTGGGAAGGGGAAAATAAACTAATTTTCGAGCTCCATCAAACCTTCGGTATTCTCCGTACTGAGCTTCACATGTAGCGGAGATGAATTAGTTCTGTTTCTTCGATTCCTCTTTGCGCGTTTTTCAAAATTCTTCCTATTCCGGTGAATTCGGAGAGTACAGTCAACACCTCCTTATAGAAGTCACCACCTCCTTTTTAAATTTTGGAAGTGTTACTTCATACCATTTAAACCATGAAATAGAAAGGACGATCTTAAGGAAATACTTATCTTTTACAGAACGCCTGCAATCCTTTTTTTTTTAATTTAATTATTCTTTAATAAGCAGGGAAGTAGATATTTTGATAGAAATTAAACCATATTCCAATAACAACTGTCTTCATGCACAATATGTTTGTTAGTAGATTTATAGGAACAAGTTGTTTTATATTTCGCAATGTTTCCCTGTGAAGTAATTTTTTTATAATTTAAAATAGTTTTAACGGTAAACGTTTGTAGTTAAATCATGGTCAATATTATTTATGTTATTTTTGAATATAACCTACAAGGTATGAATGTTTAGCATTTATCTTTGGCCAAAGAATTTATAAAAATCTTATTTATTTATTTTCTTAATATATTAAAATCCGAGAAATATTAATCGAAAATTGAAATAGTAAATTCGAAATATTAATCGATCGATATTAATCGTTTTGCATTATAAACGACAAAAGTGTTCAATCTTTGAATAAAATCCAACCCAAATATCTATATCAAATAGTGAAAGCAATGTTAAGTGCGGCACTAGCGCGTAACCTATTTCGTTTCTTTGCCTTCTCGGAGTTTCGACTCAGACGACTACTTGTGACGTCACAATCCAGTGTCCTGGCTTTCTTCTGTTAGGAGGTGTTGGTACAGTCCCCCTCCCACAACTCCTCAGGGAATGTCATGATAAGTCATTAAGAAGAGCTGGGCAGTTTCTTTGTGACTAAGTTAGTCTTCGTTAAGTTTAGGCTCCTTTCGAAATCTTTAATTTCATTCTATTTATAATTCTGCTACAATATTAGCTGTTATTTTAACATCTTATGTTAATCAATATAGATGTTTTAGACATTATTGGAACTAAAAGAAAAAAAAATCTTTAGCCCTTTATGAAGGTTATCAGTATCGAATTCGGAATAGAAATAAGGAAAATGTAGTTTATTGGATTTGCATAAATGAAAGATTTAAAAGCTGCAAAGGCGCAATTAAAACCAAAGCAGAAGTCGTTTTAGAAGAACGAACGTCATTTTAGAACTTCTTTTTAGAACGAATACTTGTTCTGAAAGATTTTATTATAACTCGCCTCGCCTTTATGCAGAATTTTGGAAGAATATTGTTTTCTAATTTAGGAAATGATCTTTTAGTTCATTGCCAAAATCATCGCAGAGTTTGAACATCTTTCTCTCCTTTTAAATACAGTATTAACTTCATTCGTGCAAAGATCTGAGATCGTAAATATTTTTCGATTATTTATTTTCAAAATTCTTTTTCCTAAATCTAATTTTTTTTGCTTTCCTACACTTCGGGTGAGGCCGAGGTCCATTCGCCTCCCCCCCCCACTATGTAACCCCTTTGGGAAGGGGGTTAATGAAGATTGATGATTTCGCGGAAACAGGAACCTTTGTGACAACCGCGGAAACAGGAAGTCACCGCGGAGAATGTCGACACATAGGTTTGGTGTATTTGATTACGGCAAAGCACTCGAGGACTATCTGTCTAAGGGAAGGAATGCCTTCGTGGAAAACTTTCTGAGGAAAGCTGGCTTCTATACACCTTTCACATGGACAGTACCACGAAACCCTCATGCAGCCAGCCTGTTCGCCGGTATTCGAACCCCAGATTGAACTGCAGCGATCTTACCGTTCGGCCGCTGGTGAGCCTAGTCGACACACAGAAGAAAGATCGTTCACACTAGGATTTGTTTGAATTAATGGAGTCGGTTTCATGTGTCAACTGACTCTGATACCTTGGAACTATGTTGGCTGAGCCAGATGTCCCGTTAGCTCAAATAAATCTTAGCGTGAATTGCCCTCATAAAATTATACCCTGCGAGCAAGTTCGCAAGAGAACGGCTGTATTCCGGAACAAATGAAGAAGTAGATGACCTTGCAAAAGAGGCAGCAGGCAACAGAGATGCTCAAAACGTGCCCACATTATTTTTTAAATCCCATCTCAAGAGAGGAATCCTGACCACTGCATTACAACATTGGCAGGATGAATAGGACGAAATTCCCCATGGAAAAAAACCCATGTCTTTTACAACAAAGTTTCCCCCGACCGCTTAATTCAAGACCATCATAACCCGATTTCGTCACCGGCCGTGTCCCTTTCCGGAATACTTCATGGAATTTTTTTTCCTCTAACATCTGTGTACGCGGCGAAGCTGGATTCCCAGACCATTACATAACATCGTGCCCACTCACAGAGGCGTGGCCCATGCTAGTGCCAGACTAGCATGTAACGACCTTTTAAGAAATAAAAATATATAATGGGAGGCATTAGGACGGACTTGTGTCACGCTGGCGTACAATTAGGGCGGGACTTGTGTCACGCTGGAGCACTTTGCTCCAGTGTACTGCTTATGTATTTGTATGTTGTTTATATGTTTAGTATCTGTATAACCCCCCCGGGGTTATACAGATACTTAACATATACATATACATAAACATAGTGTTCGACGTAGAGAACTCTGCGAAGCTACTGGCTAGGATCTGTACCTAGGCAGTCTCGGCCACGGGGGTATAAAATTTATGAACTTGGTGGTTCTGAAGGCTCTGGGAAAGGTCACTTATTGGCCGGCCTCGGAGTCTGGCATGTCCTAGCGCGGCGTGGTGCTAGTAACCCGGGGGTTATTCCCCGGGGTCGCTGGATAATGTCCCGCTGCGACGGGCCCGCCCAAGCGACTGGTAGGAGCATTTGACGACCGGTGCTGCCTGGGGCCCGTCTCCATGTGGTGCGCGGCTCTTCTGGAGGGTAATAGTGGAGGTTGAACCTCCACGATGTGCCCAAAGGGAGAGTCGACCTGCAGTGAGATTAAGTTTCCTCGGAGCAGGGAAGCCCAAACGCCATAGTATCTGTATAATGCCTGCATAAATATTTAGTACCTGTGTAGTATCAAGTACCTGTGCCTGCATTAGTTTCTAATATCTATGTAACAAAATGTAATATATATAGCATAATGTCCGCATCAGTATGTAGTATCTGTGTACTATGTAGTAGTATATTTAGTATTTGTGTATCTGTGCAATGTCTGCATTTGTATTTTGTATCTGTGTATCTGCGTAATATCTGCATTTGTATTTAGTATCTGTGTCTGCATTCTATTTAGTATTTAGTAGTATTATTTAATATCTGTGCATTTGCGGAATGTTTGCATTAATATTTAGAACCTGTGTTTCTGTTTAATGTCTCTATAAAAATTTAGTATCTGTGTAGTAGTATGTAAAATAGTCTAATGTCTGCATCAGCATATGTAGCGTCTTAATAAACTTCCGATGCGTTCCTTGTGGGGCACCGTAGGTGTTGTTACTAAACAGTTGCAGAATTCAGACAATGTGTGTCCGGGGCCCTCTCTCATCTGTCATCTGTATTCCTGAACAAGATCCATTGAGTGTCTGGTTAAGATTACGCCCAGTTTTAAACTATGCGACTTGGCGTACAATTTGCATTAACTTCTGGTCTAAGCTAGTATCGCTACTAGACAAGGAACATCGGAAAGCAATTAATAAAATAAAGAAGATAATTGTCAGTTAAATCATAAATGTCACAAGCTCTATTCGTATGTCCCCATTAGTGTAGGATGCTAATGTAGTTTCCATTTTAATTATGCTCGTGTTATAAAGTGAGTTTTCTTTTAGTGAATGGTGGATGGTCTGAGTGGAGCGAATGGGGTGGCTGCTACACACCAGATTGTAAACAAGCAGAAAATACTTCGGTCTCTTTCAGACAACGCAGCTGCAACAAACCTCTTCCAGCTCACAATGGTACTATGTGTCAAGGCACATTCCTTGAAACGGGGTTGTGCCCCAACCTTCATGCAGCCTTAAATTGCAAAGGTAAGTAAATACATAAATGCTATTAAAGTCATTGGGGGGACTAAGCAGCTAATCTAAATTATTACAGAATACAAGTATTTTAATAACGACAATTACTGCAGAAAGTGTTTTAGTAACTTCATACATCAAAATTCACTTACTTTTCAAATAGGTTAGTAGTTAAGACTGATTTGATTTATTTACCGTATTTACTCATATAATTCACCCGCTACATTTTAGCGCAAAATTCTGAAAATGTTTTAAATATTAGCGTCAATTTCCCCGTCCTCAGGGTGTTCAGAAAGATAATTCTCCTAAATTTAAAATGAGTTTGTTCCCGTAGTGGTTATTTTCGTCTTACTAATTGATCTGTTCTTGGATTTTGGATGCATGGGTTCAGACTGATACAGCTGTTACAGTGAAGAGCTTCAAGAAAACAAGAACATCTAACAGCTTTGATGGATCTGAAAATCATAGCACAAGGGAAGACAGACTGAACGGTGACGAGAACGATGGCGACGACTTGCAATCTATATAGCAGACTACACAAACAGCAGTTCCAGCAGCACTATGCTCCCCCACATGCTTTAGGAGATTCAGGTCCGATGATCTAGCAGGCCAAGGTAAATGTGAAATGGTTTTATTCTTCAGGTAACTCCGCACAACTCGAGCTTTATGCGTCCATAACCATTGCATCGGCACCCGTCACAGCGATAAAATGTCGCACATTAGGGTGTAGAATTTCGTCGTGATATCGGACGTCTGTGACGGAACCAAAAGAAATCACGTAGAGGTCGGTGCAGCTGTTCATTACCATCTCAGCCCACACAAGTAAACCTCCTCCTCTGTGGTGTCTTTCGACGATGCTTGGCGACCGATAGCATGTCCCTCGTTTCCGCCCTATCATTGCCCTTCGGGAATTGTTTAGTGTATTAAATCGAGACTCATCTATAAAGAGTATATGTCCCACTGTTCTAACGTCATCTGCAGTGTTCACGGGCCTAACTATAACATGACAGCGCTCTGACATGCGATAAGCACAAAGGAACACAAACGCAGGTCATCTGACGAACAATCAACTTCTTGCAGTTGACGCAATCTGGTTTGGCGAGATATGGACATCTTGCAGCAGCAGAGAGATGCGACGCCTAATGCGTATTAATCCTCTGGCGTCCAGTTTCGCGTTTTCTACAATGGTTTTGATCCCCTTGGTAACGATTCCACAGACATTTGATGACATTACGATGCACATTTAGCTCTCTCGTAATAACAGATTGTCTTGAACCAACTTGCAACATCCCAACAGTCCTGCAATGCATTCCATCGTGCAAATGGTATCTTAGGCTCATGATTTTCCCTTTGGCTATCTCGGATTACTTTGAACTATTGCTGCTTGCGAACTCAGGCATAGATCCGCCATGCCCCTTTTTAAGGCGTTGCGGTGTGACTGCAGGATTGCGCTTCATGCTAATTTTCGTTGCCATTATTTTGCAGTCGGCGATGCATCTTCTACCTCATATGTAAATTTATATGTTTAAATTCTCCTTTTTTTATATTCGTACCTTTCCTTTTAGCGCTTGTTGCTTATTTTTCGAGTATGAGTGTATATCTCATTCAGTATCCATAAGACTATGAGGATCGAAACTCGACCTCTGCATCTCATAGGAAAGAGCTTGGATCTGAGTATTCAGTGTAAAAAAGAGTGCTTCTGAGTGTGTGCGTAAGATAGAGAGAGAAAGAGTTACGCCTAGTGTTAACATACTTTGTAGAGTCATTAGGTTTTTTTGGATGCTGGAGACATTACAAATGTGCAATGCCCCCCGCCGAGACTCGGATCTTGACCTTTCGGATATGCGTCAGTTATACTTCTAATTACACCACGAAGGTATGCAGAAAGGAGAGAGAAAATACACCCCCTTTTAAAGGACGACTGGGGAGTAAAGAGCGTAGCTGTCAAATTCCGGTGGTGACGAATTATCGACCACCACCTCTTTAGTTCCGGCGCCCCTTGTAGAGTCATTAGGTTTTTTGAAGCAGGGAACGTGAAATATATGCTTTGCCCTCGCCGGAACTCGAACGCTAGACCTCTCGAACACGCGCCGAGTATGCTTCCAATTATACCACAAAGGCATGCAGAAAGAAAGAAAATAATTCATAAACTATTTTCACCTATACTAAAGCAGCCTGGTAACGACTTTGCCAAGTTACAGATTGTGCAAAACGAGCTTCTGCGACTGATATTAAATGTCTCTTGGCTCGTGCGAGGCAGTGAGGTCCACGGGGATTTTAAAATTGAGAATCTCAAAAATTAAAATCAATTTCGGCATGGTAGTTTCTACCAGAAAATTACTGGTACGTCGGAGACTCACTTTTCAAATAATTTTAAATACTGTATAAGGTATTTTCTCCCTCCTTCCAGCATTCCTTCGGGGTGTAACAGTCGTACACACTATTCGAGAGGTCCAAGGTTCGAGTTTCGGCAATACTGTGTATAACTCCTTCGGATGAATTTGCTAGATTTTTAACTCCATTACAGACTGAGCCTCGGATTCTTTTCACCTCTGATTGACCCGCGATACATAGTATTTTATCTTCACTTTCGTTTCTCTTCTTAGTTCTCTATGATGGAGAATCAATACAGTTTATCAAAGTAGGTGTTTTGGTAGTACAGGAAGAAACTCCTTAATTGCATTCATTCATATATACCATTCTGTGTCATGCATCGCAGTGGTGTTAAAAACGGATACGTAAGAGAAACGTAAGAGAAAGAGAAAGATAATAGTTTGCATAGGAACTAGTGTGTTGTAAAAGTTATATTGGAATTGGAATGCTTTTTAAGAAATGAGATCTGACACTTATAATTTTTTAATTGGAAATTTCAAGAAAAATGTACAAGTTTCTTAAGATTTATATTTTCTGTTATTTAGTGAATGGCGGATGGAGTGATTGGGGTCCATGGACTTGCAAAAAAGATTCAGTAATTAGAAAAAGACAGTGTAACAATCCTAAACCAGCTAATGGTGGAGCCAGATGTCCTGGGAATAGTGTGGATGACTACGAAAAAGGAGAGGAACAATACGGTAAGCATACATTATTTAGCTATGAAATTTGAAAGGGATTTAAAAATGCGTATATTACTCACAATAAATGCAAATGATGAATTCTGATTTCCATTTTTCTTCAGTATAATTTCATATTTGTTTACCCCTCCGCGTACGGCTCCCTTAATTTGAGCTAGAATATTATCAAGTTGGTATTTGTGTATAAACGAAAAAAAAAAAAAAATGAAAATTAAAAATAAATATAAATCCTATTAAATTGTGCAGGTTAGCCGAAAAGTTAAGAGTTTGAGTGAGAAGTCAAAAATTAAAACTGATTAACAATGCATTTACGCACCAATTCCAATAAAAGTCACATCAGAATTTAATTTAATTAAATTTTGAATTATTGATAATTAGAATAATTAAGCTTAAAAGGTACTGATGAAAGAAATTCCCATTACCTTACTACCTGTTGCATCTAGCAGAAAACATATCTTTTGGCGTTCTCGTCTTTAAGCCCAAAGACAAGCGTATTTTTTCTGTTGCCAAATTTAAGATTGGCGGGAAAGTTAATAAGAAGGGAGGAAAACTGATTGTGATCTATGGAATGGTTAGACAAAACTACTAATTGCTTTCAAATTCGTGAGCAACCTGTATAGTCCAGTATATAAACTTCTTTATGAAAACTAGCGTAGCAGGAAACTACACAAGAGAAGGGTTAAAGTACCCTTTATTAGATCTTTGAAAATTTACAATGCGTCAACTCGACGCTAACAAACTTCGCCTTTGCTTGGGCGGTAACTGAAAATCAAGTAACGAAACTAAAAATTTGAAGATACAGTCAAATACCGAATTCTGCATCAAAATCATTCCTTACAGGTTCTTTGTTCTGCATCGAGGTAAAAAAGCAGACGATTCACTCAACTCTTCTTTCAAGTTCACGATTCACGTTGTTGTATTTTCTGAGCTTTGTTATTTCACGAGATTATTTAGTGCTGCCTTTTTTTTTATCCGGATATTTTGTGGATAATTTAAGAATATTTTGAACTTCAACCCTTTTTAATACAATGACAGAAAAGAAATGCACTCATTATTTTACTGTTTGCAACGTTAAAAAACGTAAACACGTTGCATTGACGGTAATGCAAAAAGTGCAAATTCTGCAAAAGATGGAGGCGGGTGCTACTCCTCGGCTTATAGCAGAAATCGTACGGAATTGCGACACGATTGTGTATGATATACAGAAAAATAAAGAAAAGCTGTTGAAATTTTTCAGCAATAGTGATTCTAACACCGGAATCCGAAACCGGAAATCTTTGCATGAGGCGAAATCGGCAAACCTCGATGCAATACAATATAATATATACTGTATTGATATAATACAATTAATAATATAATCAATTTATATATGTAATAATAAGTTAATGCATATAATAAGTTATTGCAATAATGTATATAATAATTTAATTAAATGCATCTAATACGACTTATTTATTTTGCACTTTTAGTCTGAATATTATGACTTATCTTTTCTGCCCTGAAATCCGCAAAATCCTAAAATCCGCACAAACTCTGGTGCGGATCCTCTGGCTTTGCGGATTTCTGGACTTCTACTGTATCAACAAACGATAGAACTAGACTACAGGGCTCAGCGAGATCCCGTAACTTAAACCCCCTTCGAAGCTAGTGGCAGCAAATAAATGCAATTAAGCCACTTGAACCAACAATAAGCAAACGTACCTACGGCAAAGGAAGGCGGTTAGAGCATAACTCCCCCCTTTTCTCCTACCGAAAATCGGCTTTTAAATACTTCCTTCGCAGTAGAAATTTGCATTCCTTCACACGCGCTACAACATTTAACTATTCTGGCCCTGACAATTAGAGGAATGAAGGCTTATAGAAAAGTCTCATCTTTAACTTGTTAGTTAAAATAAATATAAATCCCTACAAAGTAAGAATCTATTTTTAAAATTTCTGGCAAGTCTTAGAAAAAAGAGAAGATAGCGAAAAAGATTAAATTCTTCACGCAAATCGAGTTCTAATTGCGACATAAATTATTTGGCTCTTTTTTAATAAAAGTATAGCAGCCAGAATAGAAAGAAATTTTAGAAAATGTTTTAGATTTATAAACAGGGATTTTATAAACAGGGTGTTTATAAAGTCCCGGACCCATTTTGATGTTTAATAACTCATAAAATAATAAAGATAGATTAAAATTAATAACATAAATAGTTAGATAGACTCAAAAAGTTTCATGACCCTTGTCAATGAACTTCCACGTGTGCCCCCTTCGTCGCACGGAGAATATCAAGTCGATATTCAATTTCACACCAGTTACCGGCAAGCATGTCGGCATCCACAGAGGCCATTGCAGTCGTAATTCTGGCTTTTAGGTCATCAATGTTTGACACTCTCCTCCTGTAAACGTTGTCCTTTACAAATCCCCAAAGGAAAAAGTCCATAACATTGCAATAGTTTCCAAAAGCAAAAGAGAGAAAAATGCAATTAATAAGCAGACGATATTTAGAAAAGTACAGATATTTAGACGGGGAAATGAAATTATCTGAAATTAACCACACGCGCAGACGATATTTACAAAAGTAAAGATATTCAAATCTGAAAAGGAAAATATATACAGTGTCTCACTAAAGTGATGGGACACTTGTGCTTTACAAAAGGAAAATGTAGTAAAATAAATTAAAAAAACATGTAAAAATTTTTGTGGGTGCGTTTCATACTTAAATTTAGTAACAATTATTACATAACATACATTTTCTCAAAATATTAAAATATTAATTTAATAAAAATACAATTGTTTAGAATGGAGCAAAAAATGGCTCGCATAAGTGATGGGACACTTACTTTTCCATCAAATATTTATCCAAAAATTTTACTTTTTAAAAGGTTTTAATATTTTCTTGGATTTCCTTTTACTTTTAAAACATGATTTAATCTTCTTGGTATGGATTCGACTAATTTTTTTATGATTTCTGGAGCGATTTTACCCCATTCTTCTTGAAGCACCGATTTTAATTGTTGCTTTGAAGAAATGGTGTGTTTGCGAATTCTTGATTCCAATTCTTGCCAAATATTCTCTATAGGATTTAAGTCTGGAGATTATGGTGGTGTTTTTATTATTTCAGGATAGTTATACAGCAGCCAGAGTCTAACGTTCAAAGCAGTGTGCTTGTCTTGGTAGAATTTAAAATCGTTATGAAGGTTCAATTTTCGTGCTGAAGATTTCAAATTTTGATTTAAAATGTCAATATACTTGTTGATTATTGACTGTCAATAAAATCAAATAAATATAAACATAAATAAATGTCAATAAAAACGTCAATAAAGATTACCAACTCCAGCGGACGACATACACCCCCATACCATAACTCCTTCTCCATTATGTTTTACTGTTGGCACCAAGTTCTGTTTGCGAAACTCTTTCCCTGGGTTTTCTCCTGGGTTTACACCAAGATTCTACCGTCAGAACCAAATATATTAAATTTACTCTCATCAGCAAATATAACTTCATTCCAGTAATCAGAATTCTTATTTATGTTGGATTTTGCGAAAGCCAGTCTGAGTTTTCTATTCTCTTCACTTACGAAGAATTTTTTCCTGGCTGCTCTACCGTGATATCCAGCAAATCGAATTACTCTTCCAATAGTCTCAGGTTTAACAATTACTTTATATAATGCTTGTAAATCAGCAGCAACTTTAGGAGCACTCATTCTTGAATTTGTTTTAATATTTCGAACGATAATTCGCTTTATTCCATTGGATAACTTTGATGGTCGGTCTTCTTCCAGGTCTTCTTTTATCCTGAATCATATGATTCTTTTTATATCGTTTAATGATATTGAAAACTGTTGAATAACTCAAGTTAACTGTTTCAGCAGTTTTTCTAATAGATTTTCCACGTTCAATATGCAAATTAATAACTAATTTTCGAATTTCAGGCAAAGTTTCTTTTCGTTTAGCATTCATGGCTGCACAGAGCTAAAAACACAAAATTTCCAAAACAAACTGGAGAGAAATACTGCAGACGATTTTATAAATTATTGCCAATTGCTTTTGAGTAAAAATAAAAACCCCAAAACATATTTTTATTGTAGTACGTAGTAGTATCTAATGGTGTCCCATCACTTATGTGAGCCATTTTTTGCTCCGTTCTGAACAATTGTACTTTTATTAAATTAATATTTTAATATTTTGAGAAAATGTATTTTATGTAATAATTGTTACTAAATTTAAGTATGAAACACACCCACAAAAAATTTTGACATGTTTTTTAAATTTATATTATTACAGTTTCCTTTTGTAAACCACAAGTGTCCCATCACTTTTGTGAGACACTGTAAGTTATTCCAATCAATAAATGCCATAAGTTTGTTTATATCTTCATTATTTTATGAGTTATTAAACATCAAAATGGGTGCGGGACTTTATAAACACCCTGTATTTTTACAAATCTGCCAGTTAAAGACGTCGAAGTTACACTTCTTATAAAGGTTTCTGATAATGCCTTTATATCTCCTAAACTAAAAGATTGAATTTTAAAATTAATGTCTGCCTTTCCGATACAAAAACTGATAAAACTTGATGGAACTTGGTAATAAATTACAGTGTTAATAAGTATTGAAATTTCACTTTTAAGATCTTCAATTTCTGTATAGATGTTCCTAATTCTTTTGAGTTGACTGAAAAAAGTATTTCCTATTACTTTTTTAGAAATCTTGGATCAATTTAATAGTTGTGAATTTAATATCTCTTCGTTTGTTCAAAAATATTAATAATGTAATCATTAATAACTTGCAATTCAAGTTAGTCTATTATTCGTTGATTAGAATTAGTAAGATTCAGTGTGAGACAGTTAAGATAGATTTTAAATTTCTCTATCGCTTTATTATTATTGAAAGTAATTATATCATCCATATAGCTGTATGTATTGGCAAACAACATATCCTGGGACTTTTTCCAATTGAAATTTGTATTCTTTCATGAACAAATTTAAATTACAAATCTGTTTCGAGCTGTTAGATTCCATTGGAATGCCTTTGACCTGTGGATATTGTAAATGCTATTATGGAATTAGGTGATAGAAATCCGTGATGTGAAAAAATACGACAGTCAAAGAAAGCAGTCATAATTTGATTGTTAAGCTGTATCTGCACTCAAAGCATACAATCATGTTTGTGGATTTGTTTATGCGTTAGGACATAAAAAGGATTCGCTTGGAAAAAGCATTTTCTAGGAAGCTTACGTACGTTGTTGATTTCGGAAAAAATTCGACCTTTTTGAAACATCTCAGGAATCTACACGGCGCAAAACTAAATAATCTTTCAAATGTAGAGAATAAAAATATTATCTGAACGTAATAGCCTTAAGTATTAAAATAATAGCCTTAAGCATTAAAAAACAATAATAGCTTTAAGTATTAGAAAGCAATAATAACCTTAAGTATTAAAAGACAATAATACATAAAAGACAATAATAGCCTTAAATATTAAAAGCAATAATAACCTATAGTATTAAAAGACAATAATAGCCTTAAGCATTAATAATAGCCTTATAAGATATTTCTCTCGCCTTCCTAGCGTCCCTTTGTGGTGTAGTGGTTCTGCACTCTGGGAGGGTATTCCAGAGGTCCGTGCTTCGATTCCCGACGAAGGCGTTGCTAATTTTTCATCTTTCTTGCTTCCAAATTACCTAAAGTCTCTATAGTGGCGCCCGAACTAAAAGAGTGTTGGATGATGATTCTCCACACCCAGGATTTGGTGACTGGGTCCCCTAAAAACCCCATTCGCCCTTTAAAAGAGGGAGTATATAAGATATTTCTCCCGCCTTCTTGGCATGCCTTCGTGGTGTGGTGGTCTGTATGCTGGGCGCGTTTTTCAGAGGTCCGCGGTTCGATTCCCGGCGAAGGCGTTGCTAATTTTTCATCTTGCCTGCTTCCGAAAATACCTAATGTCTCTACATCCTTAAGTATTAAAAGGCAATACTAGCCCTAAGCATTAATAATAGCCTTAGGTATTAAAAAACGATCACTAAGAACACTATCTCTGACCTAACCGGACCCGTTGATCATTAACTGAAGTGCATGGTCTACTGAAGCGTCGTCTTTGATGCATTCTTTATATTTCATAAACAGCTTACATTTTCTAACTAAACGAATAATGTAACAATATAAGAGATTTTGATAAAAAAAAAAAAAAAAAGCTTTTATTTTTGAACACGTTTTCTTCATAATTGCATTTTTGCAATATTTCAGATGCTTTACAGTAGAATTTCCATTTAGAAATCAAAATTAAATTTATTTTTCTTCATTCCAGTCACATTCAACATTTTGGAAAATTGCCAAAGCAAAACGTTTTCATTATAAGAACATACGTTTTTTCGAAGTTTCATCAAATAGCCCCCTCCAGTAAAAATGAATTTATTTGCTAATAGTTAAAGGAAATGAAGTACAAAGTATTGCCAAATGTCGATAAATGTTGCATCAACTTCTGAAAAAATTTCCAAGCAATATCTTCATGCAAGCACGAATTTCAAATGAATCATTCTCGATGTTTTTTGATCACTGTATTATATTATTTCACTAACTGTAGACTGAAATAAATTCTGCTGTTAAAACAATATGTATTTCTTTCTTTTGATGTGCTTTTTTTGATGCAATGTTTACAAATTAATTCCCAACTGCTGGAAATAAAAACTTAAATGATGTGTCGTAAGAAATTTTATCGAATTATTAATTTTTATTCATTATATTTTTTCTTTATTTTTAGCAAAACTTTGTCCTGATTTCAGTGATGATGAGGTATGAATCTTAATTATTTTTAATATACAAACTGAGTACTTTTTAAAAAAAATTTTATTCTTTCTAGCCTAGTACAAGATTTCCGAATTCCCAAATATCTTCCAACCCTCGAGGAAATTCTGCAATATAAAATAGTTATAAAATGCTAAAATACGTACCCTGTTGGCAGAGTATGATCCCTGTTGGCACAGAGTTGGTATGGTTAACTTACAAATATTCTTACATGTATCTGTTCTGTAAAACGACACGTATCAATATAATAGTCAAGCTGTTCCTAAACATTTCTGAGTATGCTCAAGTCAAGAATTCCGGCAGCTGCTGTGATGTGTCATTTAAGATTATTCAGATTTGTAGAAGGGAAAGACTAAACAAAATTCTCTCTTTGATATATCGTCGCAAGAATTAGTCCACCTCCGAGCGTCATGTGCTGGTCTGTTGAATAGCCAGTCTACCACAGGTACAGACTTTATCCATACCATCTTCACAAACAAGGAGACAGAACAAAATTTAGTTTTGAAGATTCAAGAAAACAAAAGCATCTTCTATACTAGGGTTTCTTAAACTGTGGGTAGCGACTCCCAAGGGGTCGCGGGACCTGCAGCAGGGGGTCGCGAAAAATGATTTTTATTAAACTTATTATTTGATATTTATTAAACTTATTATAATAATTTTACAATTACAAATATTTTTACATAATGCATCTAAAAATAGATAAAGAAAATACAGGCAAAGAAAAAAAAACGAAAACGTTTCGACGCATTCTTTTTATAATATAAACGTTCATTTTCCTTGCTTTGCACGTGACAGTGTCATTTCGTCTGTTACTTATTTAAAATTTCCACATTGTTCTATGTCTTAAAATTAGAAATTAAAGTTAATGACCTAAAACTGCAATAGTATATTACAGTACAAGTGAAAAAAATTGCCATTTTCACTCAAGCGCGTGTCGGATTTGCGCAATACTTATGGGGACCTACAAAATTTTTGTATTATGGGGTCCTGGGGGTTGCGACTGAAAAGCGTTTAAGAAATCCTGTTCTATACGATTAGCGACCATATTGTTCGATTGCCAGAAAGGGCACTGAAGTGATATCCGCCGAAAACATTGCAAATAAAATGTCCCAGAGAAAAACAACGCAACAGGTAAACATAATCGTACAAAACATCGTGGAGAAAAGAAAGGAAGGCAGAAACATCACAGTTTTAAAACATCGCGGTAACAGTCATCATGTGAGAAAATAAAACAGTTCAAAAACTTCTTAGTTTGAAAGCATAATCGTATACAGTGTAGGGTTTATATTTATTTTAACTAACATTTATTTTAAGTTTAAACTATCTTTCCTGTCAAGCCTTACTTTCCCCTGGAACTGCCAATGCCAGAATATGTAAATTTTAGTAGAACGCGCAAGGATTCAAATTATCAGCGGAAGTATTTTGAGTTAAATAGAAAGGAAACGAGTTCGAAGGTGTGCTGTTCTTACTTCACGAGCGCGGAGGTAGTTAGCCAGAAATTGAAGAACCACGCGTTTCGGCCTGTGTGCTTGTCTCGGCCAATTGTTAATCGTTCAACGTGATATTCAAAGTTTGCTGAATTAGCAGCGGTGTTGTAAAACGCGGTGAGGTTAGTTACGTTTAGAGAGCCTCGTAGTTAGTCTCTTGTATTATTTCTTTTCAGTTCTTATTTTTTATTTTAACCGCCGGGTCGGCGTAGTTTGTGAGCGTCAAGAGCACGCATTTGTAATTTCTAAAGTTGAGTAAAAAGGGACTTAAACCCTTCGCAGGACTCTGTCTAATTTCCAGTTTCAGCTGTCACCACTTGGTTGCGTGCAGGTTGAAGGCGCGCAACTGTACAACAGTATCATAGTCAATCCATGATGATAATATCGCAGACATGTATTTATAAATTTTAAAATTTTTAATGTACGTTTGAATAATGATTTGTGAGCATAAGAAAAAATGAAAAACATTTTTACCTCTATATTTCATATTTTTGAATAAACTTATAAATTTTTACGGAGAAAGCAAGAATGAGACAATCAAACAGAAAATATGTGGAAATTAAAGCTACATAAAGCAGTTAATAAAACTTTAAACTTCCATATCTAACTATTAAAAAATCATTGTTTAATTAATCTCTTTTATAAAGTCGTATTAGTAATTTTTCATAAAAGAAACCTAATATAAAAGAAGGAAGCTTAGTGACTGTATGAGGTTACCCATATTAAAAGTGTTTCATTAATTATTCAATTGCCTACAATTCCATGATCTATATGCCATTATCCTCACTATGTCAATCATCTGATGAGGATTTATAGGAATTTTGCTTTTTGTTGGAATATGTCATAAAACGATTTTTTTAAAACTGTGAAAGTTTTGAATTATTTTATTTTCTACGACGGTGTTCTAAACCAAGATGCTGCGATGTTTTTTCTTTAATTTATTTTCTCCCGCGATGTTTTGTTCGTCGAAGGTTTTGTCTTGCGTTGTTTTTTCCTCGACCATTTCATTCGCGAAATTTTCGCTTGTAATGCTCAGTGATGTTGACATTGCTAAAACAAATGAATTTCTTCTACTGAATGGTACTAAATGCTGTCTGATAAAAGCAAACACTTTTTGATTTATTAGCAATTAATTTCTCTATTACTTTCGAGCTAAACCTGAAATTCTTTTTATTATATTGACTACTACTATTTATTCATTTAGTAACGTTTTATTTGTTTATCGTTTTAAGGATTTACAAGGTTCTGGAAGCGGAAACGGTACCGGGGTATCAGAGGACGACTAAAACACTGAAATATAATTTCCATCAAAAGCTATTTTCCCTATGTATCTCACAGAAGACAATGGCATACAAAATTGTCTAACTTTTGAATAGAAAGAAAAAGTATTTTCTACTTTGAATTAATTTTGCTTTTATGTTCTCCAAAATTTCATGTGCAAAAGAATAAAAAAATTATTAGGTTTACGCATTTCACAATTTTCAGAATGTGCATGCATTTTTTTAATATGATTTTCAGATTACTAAAATACCAGAAGAAAAATATAAAAAATGAAAAACGTATGTGAAACGTTATTGTGAATACCAAGAGCCAGAAGACTGATTCCACATGTGCCAAAACTGCTGTATGAATCGTTTTAGCGTTATATATATATATCACTAAAGTCGCTAATAATTGATCATCTGGGTAGAATTACAACTATAAGTCAAGCTGAAAGTATCAATTCACCTTCAACTTCTATTTGGAGTATACGGAAGAAAACAAGAAAGAAAGGGCATTTCTGACAGCAATGGTTTCTGAACTCATTGGACATACGCATTATTTAACGCTTCGAGCACAGCGGACAGAATTTTATTTTAGTTTTCAGTTGTGATAACCGTTTTCAAGCAGTCCTGAGATTTTATCTCGTCTTTTGCATTTTGAGGTACAAGGAAAATACGGTTCTTCAAGTCTGCTATATCGGGAAAGACACCCGTATAAAAAAAGATATTCTACCATTTTGAAATTTAGAGTTATGAGTTTTCTGAAAAATACTGTTGACGGAACTGAAGGTGATATTATTAGACGGATGATAACAAAGTTTACGGTGGAATGAAAGACAGCAATATTCATCAGGATTTGCTTTAAGCAAAGACTTAGATAATCGCTAGACAATTCCAAATGGGATACCGGTGCCAAGACATTTTATTATGTAATATATTACAAATTAAATAAAATAAAAATTTTATTTTTTATTTACCTACCCTATGATACATCTTTTGTGGTCAAACAACTTGCAAATGATTTTTAACCTGCATATAACAAACATATATCTTTATAATAACGCACAACAAAATATCTTTATTTAATTTTAATTAATTTCTTTTGATTTAAATTCGCTAAATGTAAATATCAAGAGCTTGTTCTTTACTGGTAAAACATTTGCTAAAACGTCGAGACTTATACACAGAAAAATGCGGTAATTTGTTGCTTTGAAAAAATAAATTTAAAAAATGTCTTAGTTAATTTTTTAATTACTTTTTCAACCTTGTAAATGTATACTTTACAAAGCTTATGAACATAAAACGCATAGAATAAATTATCCTTGCTAGAGAAAATAGCATGTCACTAATTCAAAAGTAAAAGAACGTGACGTACACGTATGTTGATTAATTAGATCAGCGGTTCTCAACCTTTTGACTAATCCGTACCACCTAAACAAAAATTGAAAACCTTTAGTACTACCACTACAAAGTACTACTACCACCACCAGTCTTGAACAAAGCTCAGATCCCATAAATTTTCGAGTGTTAGAGTGTTTCATTTTCTTTGTGTGTCGTTTTATTACATGTTTAACTGCTTATTCTTTTTTTTTTTTTTTTTTTTTTTTTCTGTTCGTTTTTATTTTGTCGGGCTGGCCCTAAAAGCTTTATGGCTGAACGAATTTATTGGCCGGGGGAGCTGGGCGCTTCGCCTTTGTAGTAACATAATCTTGGATATATATTATAATGCATTTTGATCAAATCAAGCAAAATTGAATTATGACCTTAAATTTGTTTAATGTGTGCATTTTATTATTTTACATATTATGTGATATTTAACTACACTCATGTCCATAAATTAAGGATAATTCGGAGTCACGCGGAAATCGCACTCTAAAATAAATATATCACCTGTAAAATCACTACTCACATCTTCAAGAATCATCTGCAAATTTCAGGAAGTAACCAGATGACACCGATGGTACGTCACAATGACGAGAGTGTAAGAGAGTGATATATAAGGAACACAGGCAAAGAAGTAAAACTGTTCGCAGGCGCTTTATAAGCACTTCAGTGCAATAACCGAATAGCTATGACACAAAGGACGCATTTGGATGATTTTTTACGTGGTAGAATTATCGGCCGTCTGGAATGTCGGCGTACCCAACTGGAAGTATCAGACGAACTTGGAATTGCCCAGAGTGTCATCTCCAGGCTTTGGCAACGATCCCAAGATGATGGTAATGTGAGTAGATGTTACAGCACAGGTCGCCCCAGAGTTACAACGCCGAATGAGGGCCGGTATTCGGCAGTTACTGCCAAAAGAAACAGGCGGAGCACAGCCTCAGACCTGCCTCGTCAGCTCTCTTCAGCCACTGGTACGACAATTTCAAGGCAGACCGTGTACAGACGCTTAGGGAAGATTGGTCTATATGCTCGTAGACCTGTCAGATGCGTTCCCACTTACTGCAACTCACTGTCGCCTGCGGTTAGCCTGGGGTAGAGAGCATGCATTGTGGACACCGCTACAGTGGGCTTGTGTGATGTTTCCCGACAAGTCCAGGTTTAGCTTGCAGTCTGATTCTCGCCGGACTTTCATATGGAGAGCTCCAGGTACCCATTACCACCAAGAAAACATCATTGAACGACACCGTTACGGTGGTGCAGGAGTGCTCGTTTGGGGTGGAATTATTCTGGGTTCCAGAACTGACCTGATGTTCAAATTGAAACCATGACAAGCCAAATCTATCGGTACGTCATTCTGGAACAACATGTACGTTTGTTTCGGGGCGCCACGGGCGCACAATTTGTGTTTATGGATGACAACGCCCGTCCTCACCGTGCACACATCGTAAACGAATGCCTTCAATCGGAGGATAACACCCGATTGAAGGCATTCGCTTACGATGTATGGACCAAGGAGGTTAGAATAGAAGGAGGGAGAGTTCGCAGTTTCCTCCACTATAGCCTCATTCACAAGAGCAGATTCGACCGGTAGTGAAAACCGGTTCTTCCAACGTGTCCCGTTCGCGTAATGGCAGACCCCACATTGAGTTGAACAGTGTTAAGCGAATTTCGCTTACTGCGCATGCTTGATGGTGTACCTTTGGCGCGGGAAGAAATATTGGCGACTAAAAGCAACCCTACGCTAGCTCATTCGTGATCTCCATGGCTGTCGAGTGTTGTGGGACTTTCTTTATTCGTTATTTTAACGTTCATACCGATTGCACTTGCTTATTTTTCTAATATATGTTTCATTTTAATTTGTCTAACAGTGCATTTAATAATTGTTACCATATATTGTGTTTAATAATTCGTTATTTAGATGTAATTTGTTTACATGTTGTAATTCTCAGTAATGTAAACTGAATTTTCCCGCTTAGTTTGTTAACGTATATTCGCGCTTTTATTTCTTATTTAAAAAGAATTAAATAAACAGCATTAAGGAATTGTAAAATTTCTTCAATGTTATTTGCAAACACTTGCTATATTTTTTACGTATGTCCGTGTTTCTTTGCGTATGTACGAATGTAACGTATGGTAAATTCTGAATTGTTTTATTCCTTAAAAGTGTTGTAAAACTAATATATCCTGAATTTCAGTCTTTTTCTGAGCGAAAATTCGTACAGTTCCAAAGTGAAGTGCAGAATTTCATAAGTATAACATCTTACATTTTGAATGCAAACACTGCTTCACATTATTTCGTAATAATTATTTACATCTCCTCCATCTATGCCTGTATCAATTTTTTTCATCGGGTTATTTATCAATAATTCCTGGTAGAATTAGAAATATATTATTAGAAAAGGTTTTTCCTGTATCATCTGCAAGGAACAGAAATTTAAAGCGATGAAGTATTGGAATGAATTTTAGCCAGCATTTGAAGTTATTTAGATTTCTGTTGCATTAAAAATTATTTAAAAGCTGCATAGAAATATTATTTTGAAATGCAAACATTTTAAGTGCCAAAATTAAAAGTATTTAAAAGGTAGCTATTGTCATTGATGATAGATTAATTGACTTGTCAAGGGAAACAAACCAAGACTTCAGTACATAAACAATATATTTTTATTCTGGGGGGCGAACATTGTTATTAATGGTGATATAATCAAATAAATAACAAAGAATCTGCAAGTGAAACGTATTTTACCATTTCTTTGAATTTAGATATTTTTCCGAATATTCCAAGCATTTAAAAGAAATATATTTTACATATTTTGTAACTGTGAATGTATTCGTAGTTCCGGAAGTTCTGAATATCTGCAGAAACACATATTTCGGTCTATGACTTAGCTGGCTTAGTTAAGTTAAGAAATAAATTTTTCTTTAATATTAACAAATGATTATATATTAATAAGAAATTGGTACATTTGTAATCCCCCCCCCAAAAAAATTCTTTAAGAGTGGCAAATACGTACATAAATTTGATTCCCCCCAGTATGTGTGACGAGTACGTTCCATTAGACTTCATGATTATTTTGTAACAGCTCTACTTATTGCCAAAATTGGGTCTTTATGCATATATATGTATAATGCATACAACATACATGCAAAGTTATGATAGCTGTTAATATATCATAATTGACTAAACATTACGAATACTGTTTCTCTTTCAAGACATGTACTTCAAATGTTTTCATAACAACTTCTGTATTTATTTAGGAAAAATTCTACTGATAAAATACTACACACAGAAATATTTTTAAAATGGTGTTTAAGAATGCTGTTGATTTTTCAGAGACACAGTAACAATTTAACTGGTTATAACCTTAACAGAGCAGAGATGTCAAACAGAAAAAGAAATGCCATTAGAAATGCTCAAATGCCAAATTAAAATATTTGATCATAAAACAAATGCAATTACAGTTAACTTATTTTCGAACTTGAAGATTGATTATCAAGTATAAGTTAATGTTTAATAAAAGAATTTCATGAAAACAACCTAAATTTGAAGTACAATGAAAATAGCTTAGTACAATGATTTTGTCAATGTATTCTTTATGTTTATTTATGGGAAATTAACAGAATGTAACCTATGTTATGAATATAAAGGTAATTTTTATTTTTAAACTCTCGCTAATTAAATATAAAACAGTTACAAAAGTCTGAATATTTGGTGTAAAATTCGATTTTTCATTATTAAGATTAAATGCCTTTTCCACCGATTACTTTTCTTGATTTAATAAATCTCCTTTTGGTCTTTCTTACACCTTATACGAGTTTCACCCACTTTGGTAATATATACTGTGTGAGAACTCTGGAAAACTTAAGCGACTTCTCGTTATGTTTTGGAAATTACAACAGAGGTTTGGAATAGGTGTAAAAAAACCTTTTATAGACTCGGACAAATTAACAGAGTGCACAGCTTGTTCATACAGAATCAGCCAGCATTTATGGCGTAAATCAAAAGTAACGAAATGAATTCACCTCATTTGAATACACTCAAAATTAGCATTCCTGGCAGGAAAATGGAAAGGAAGAAAGAAAAGCTAATTATCATAAAATAGCTGGTTAATAAAAATAAATGAGAACTCTACAACCTCAATTCACTATTTTAATTTAGCCATTTTCATTTTTATGCAGCCTTTATATCGAAGTATGCATTTGTTTTGGTGTCAATAAACTTAATTCTTTCATTTTTTACCCGATTACATAACATCACATGCAACAGCTGTAAATATGAAAAACACATGCATATATCCAGCAGCATGTTAATTTCTTTTGAATATATGGTGTCTGTCATCTACAAAAGAAAACTGTAAATTCAAAATATAAGATGTGAACATAGGTCTCCTGTTGGATAATATAAGAAAGTCACACTTTCTGGTATTACTATTATTTTTTATTATTTGTAGGACCTAAGGTCCTACAAATAATAAAAAATAATAATTAAAAATTAAACATTGTGTAGAGAGTAAAAAGCATAACGCAGAAACTTGTTGAAAAATTAACATGTATATCACTTTGCCCGAGTGTTATGGTCAGAATCCCATTCTGTATA